GTCTCCTTCTTTTTAAGCCCAAGTTTTCAAATACTACTTAATTAGTGGAAAGCACCATGGTTTCTTATTTCCAGCATATGGAGATCATGTACCAGTTTGTGTGTTATCACTAAGTCTAAGTGATTTTACTTGGACACTCTCTTCCCCCTCCTCTTCTTCTCCAACTTCTTCTTCCTCTTTCTCTTTCTGTCTGTTTCATCTTATTTATATGCCTGAATCGTGTTTGCAGTGGAGAAGAGCTTTGATTAATTAGAACAGTTAGGGCAATGGAACCCAGTACAGCTGGTTTGGAACATGGGGGTTTCCCGCCTCTCATTCCTTTGGAAACTCCCTCCCAAGCCAAAATTAGATGTTAGAAACAGCTTTATTGCCATACAGTGGATACAAAAGTGATGGTGGTTCCAAGAGAAACCTCTCAGACCTAAACAGGGATGGTACCAACAGCAAAATAAATCAGACCAAAGGCTACCACAGTAATACTTGTCCAGCACAATGGGAGTATACTTCTCCCTCCTTCCATTTTTTTCTTGTCTTTCTAATTTTTTGTGACAGGGTTGCCCCCTGTAGCCTAGACTGACATAGAACTCACATTGTAAGCACAGGCTGGCCTTGAGAGTGCCAATGCCATCTTCCTGCCCCAACCTCAAGAGTGCTTGGATAATATGCTGGCATGAGCCACCATTCCCAACTACGGTATCATTTTTTAAATTCAACATTAATTTTGTGAGTAGTTTTTTGATAGATTTTTTTTTTCATTTAACTTTTCGTCTAACTTCTGGCCTTTTTTTCTTTCAAAAATTATTTTATTTTTATGTGCATGCAAGTTTTGCCTGCATGTATATACATGTACCGCATGTGTGCAGTGCCCATGGAGATAAGAGAAGGCTGTGAGCCACCATGGGGGTGGCTGGGTCCTCTCCGAGAGCAGTGCAGGCTCTTAATGCGAAGCCATTTCTCTAGCCCTGTGGAACTTCTGATACTCTTACTGAGTCTTTTCTGAACCTAGCTTAGCAGTTCTGGTTCCTTGACTTTCAAAGAAAGTTCTCAGAGAGCAGCAGCAGTGAGACTGGGGAATTTGTGAGGAGGTCCAAGCAAGCGATGTGTATTTTAATAGCTGCACCACACCTCACTATGAGGGATATTAAAGTCTGAAAACTGGTGTCTTTTAAAACTTCATATTGTCTATTAGGAATCTAAGGACCAGGTGTGAGTGACCTAACCTAATGTTAGCCACCTAAGGAGTGACTCCGAAGTTACTAGACGCTGTGAGCATACCCACCAGCCATTTTCATTGTTTCTTTTCTTCTTTCCTTTCTTTTTTGGAGATAAGATCTTAAGGTAGTCAAGGCTAGCCTCCTACTCACTAGGTACCTGAGAATTACCTTGTACTCCTCTGCCCCTCTGGCCTGTGCATCCCCCTCCCCCCCAGCTAGGATAGTTATAAGGAGCTTCCACACCCACTTTGTTATCATTCCATTATCTTTAGGACAAATTACTGATATAGCCCAGTGACAACTCCATATGAAACCCATTCTCAAATTTTCTATTACGTGCATTCAGTAAGTTTTAGAATAAATCATCCAATATTAAATCATCAAAACAAAATCTTCAATCTCACCTTAATCACATACACTGCTTCAGTCTTAAATGTATGGGACACCCATGTAGGGAACTGTGGCTTCTCAAGTTCATATTAAACAAGACTAGACTTTTTTTCATTTACAATTGGGCCATTTACAGAATGTCTTCCAGGCTGTGTTTTATCTCCCCAATTTTCAATTTTCAAAGCTATTCTGTGCTAAAATGGAGATTGTTTTCTGCTAAAAGCATTTAGGTAATGCATATCTAGATATTCATTTTACTACCATATGCTAACATCAAATCTACAGGTCTAATTGCTCAGTTTCTTGAGCGTTGGAAGCTGCACAAAGCCATGTATCCATCATTCAAGACATGACAGGGAAAATCTTTACTGCCCCCAGAAAATGTCTTTGTCTTCTGTCTTAGGGTTACTATTGTTGTGATGAAACACCATGACCAAAAGCAAACTGGGGAGGAAAAGGTTTATGTGGCTTAACACATCACTGTTCATCATTGAAGGAAGTCGGGACAGGATCTCTAAGGACAGGAACCTGGAGGCAGGAGCTGATGCAGAGGCCATGGAAGGCTGCTGCTTACTGACTTGCTCCCATGGCTTGCTCAATCTGCTTCCCTACAGCACCTACTGGCTCCACCCACAATGGGCTGGGCCCTCACAAACTAATCACTAGTTAAGAAAATGCCCTAAGGTCTGCCTACAGCCAGATTTTATGGAGGCATTTTCTCAATTTAGGATCCTTCTTCTCTGATAACTCTAGAGTATTCAAAGTTCACATAAAACTAGCCAGCACACTGTCCTTTGAAATTAATTTTCATTCTCTCAAACTGAAACCATTCCTAACTTTTATCACAATAAATGTGTTTTTCCTTTATTTTTCTTCAAATGAATCATACAACATGTTCCATTTATATGTGACTTTTTCATTACCAATTTTTGGGATTCATGCATGGAGTACACATCAGAGCCTATTCTTTTTCATGGGTGGGTAGTGCTGCATTGTACAAACACACAAGAACATGCTCATCCTATCTTGTTCTAGATAGGGTCTCACTATGCAGCCCTGGCTAGCCTGGAACTTGAAATATAGACTCAAGCTCACAGAGATCTCCTTTCCAAGTGCTGGGATTAAAGGTATGTGCCCCCAACCTGGCACCCTACCTTGTTTTTAAGAAACTATTTTTTTTCTTATCTCAGAGTGTTACAAATTTATTATAAAAAATTATAGAATCCAAATGAGGGAAAAGGAACGTTAGTATTCATTTTCAGGCCCAGATACAACCATTATTAGCTTGTATTTCCCTATTTGAGCCTTTGTCTGTATTGAGTTGCCCTGTGTATGTCATGCCCGTTACAAGCATTTCCCTTCAGTTTCAAGTCTTATGGCCTAGATCTAAATAGAACTGGTATGTTAAGTTGGCATAGCCTTTGGCTTCACCTATGGGATCTTTTCTAAATTTAAAATTAGGGCGGGAGATGACCCAGCTGTTATGAGTACTTGTAGCTCTTGCCGAGGATGTGAACTGAGTGCCCAGCACCCATATGGCTCATAACCATGTGGAACTGAAGTTCCAGGGAAACCGACTCCGTCTTCTGAACTTCCCTGCATGCATGTGTATGCACCAGGCACATACATGGTTCATATACATGCATGCATATACATACATGCAAAATATTCATGCACATACACTTTTTTAAGCTAAAAAAGTCTTAAAAGAAAATATTTAATGAAAAAAACCCAGAAAATTAAAGGTGATACTTAAATATTCATTGGTCTAAATTCAAACGATTCATAGTCTATAAAATAATGCCTTCAATTCGTTCCTTCCACTCTCCTTTCCTTTCAAGGAGCCACTGTTAACTACTAGTTGTGATGAAGATGACGATATGGGTCATAAAAGGCTAAACTTATTGCAATGTTTTATTTTTAAACTTTAACCTGCAAGTTTTGTTATCTGTACAGCATTACCTTTTGACCATATGACTTTAAACACCAGTGGTCACGTTAGGGTTAGTTCTGGCCTGAAATGAATATATTTTTCAATGTAATTTTGGAGCATTTTCACTAGGAGGGGGGTAGAGCACTCTCTGCTTGTCCATCAGGAGGGGTGAGTCCAGAGACTATTGTAGATTTCAGATTGTGGCTCAGTTTCTTTCTTTCTTTTTTTCAAATTTATTTATTTTTATTTTATGGTGCCACTGGTGTTTTGCCTGCATGTTTGTCTGATCTTGGAGTTACAGTTGTGAGCTGCCATGTGGGTGCTGGGAATTGAACCCAGGTCCTCTGGAAGAGCAGTCATATACTCTTAACCACTGAGCCATCTCTCCAGCCCCACGGCTCAGTTTCTTATGACTTCCAAGCTCACATGCCTAGAGGATTCCAGACTGCAGCTGTTTCCGTGGAATCCCATTTCCTGGTCTCGACTAGAGGATCAGAATACGTGTCTGCAGATGACATTATATATGCAAAGGTATGCTGCAGACAAAGCTCCAGGATTTTGTTTATGTAACTAAAATAATTATAATAGCCCCGATCTCACAACACTAGAATTTAAAAATCGTTAGGGACCTGAGTTCAAGCGATCGCTGGGGATAGGATTCCTCCTCTGCTGTTTGCCTCTCAAGCCAGGAAGTGAATTCGCACCCTCAACAGTTTTGTGTTACCTGCAACCCATCCAGTCGGTGCTCCAGGTTCCCTTCCTTTGCGTGTGAGATTAAGTTCACCGAGGTGGGGGACTTAACTGTGGCGTAGGAAAACCGGGTACTAACGACGTCAATGAATTTCCAGCCCTAATGCTGAAGTACTTGAACTGAAAACATTCTCAAAGAAGCGTCTGTCTCCCTTCCCCATTTTGAAAAGGAGCAGTCTACCAGAACCAGAACGAAAATTTGTGATAATGTCCTCTCAGGAGGCCTCAAGCAAAGCTCTTTCTCTTGTTATCTTTAAAATCGTGATTATCAGTTGCAGACACCAGGAGTTTGCAGGACTCACTCTCCGGTGCTAGCCTCGTGCGCCATCCTTTTCCCCCTCCCCACTCCATAAAAGGACTAAACACCTAGCCACCCATCCCCCTACACCAGTGGGGGAAACACTGGTCCCCTTTCTTAGAACCATACAATAGTAGGAAAGGTTCAACCTTAGCTTGGCCTCGGCAAACTCGCTCTACCTGTCCCTGCCTCCTCTAGTTATCAGGCCCTCCCCACCCACCTTTGCCGCCCGGGTCCTTCTGACCCCAGAGCGAGACAGAATTAGGAGAGGAGGTGGGGTGGAGGCCGAAGGCGGCGGCGCAGCGGTACCTAGTGGCACCGCCTGGCCACATCCACAGTGTACGTGGCACTGGTTATGGACGGACAGGGAGGGGACTGGGCTTTCTCCTCCCTGGGAGGAGCCTCAAGGCAGAGGAGGGAGATTCCTTGAAGGGACAGGGCGTGCGTCCGGTGAGATCTTATCAGAGTAAAGCAGCCCAGGCACTGGCCTGGTACCTGGCTTTCCACTCTCACCTCGGAGCGAAGTCGGCGTTACCGGGACAGCGGGAGAAACTGGATAGAGGGCGGGGGCTATGTGTTCGCCAGCCCGCATGCGCGGAGCCACAATGGTCGGACTACAACTCCCAGAGGAGTCACGCGGAGGCCGCCTACCCCGGCGCCATCTTGAAATCTGATGCCTCATCGCCCGGGCTTTGCGTCAGCCCTGAGCCGCCACTGCTGTCCGGGAGCCCAGCCTGCCCGCCTGGGAGGACGTAGAGGACACGGCTGCCCGCGGCAGAGACAGCTGGAGGGGCCTTGGCAGCGTCCGCGCTCTGCTCGCACCCTGTCACTCAGCATCCCCCCCCCACTCGGCGTTCTGTGCCCGCCCCCAGCCCGAGGGGCGGGGCTGGTCGTGTGGTACCCAGAGCCTGCGCGCTCTGAAGTGCGCCCCTACCCAGTGAGGACCCCAGGCAGGGCCATGCCAGCCACAGACGATCTAGGTGGGAAGAGGAACGCATCCCAGAGCCAGTGAGCAGCCCACCGCTGTGACCGTTACAGAGAAGAAGCTCGGCACCCTCCCGGAGTAAAGATGAAAGAGATTTGCAGGATCTGTGCCCGGGAGCTGTGTGGAAACCAGCGGCGTTGGATCTTCCATACCGCTTCCAAGCTCAACCTCCAGGTTCTGCTTTCGTACGTCCTAGGCAAAGATGTCACTCGTGATGGCAAAGCCGAGTTTGCTTGCAGCAAGTGTGCTTTCATGCTCGATCGCATATATCGATTCGATACTGTTATCGCCAGGATCGAAGCCCTTTCTCTTGAGCGCTTGCAGAAACTGCTGCTGGAAAAGGATCGCCTCAAGTTCTGCATCGCCAGTATGTATCGGAAGAATAACGACGACTCTGGCGAGGAGATCAAGGCGGGAAGTGGGACGGTTGACATTTCCAACTTACCAGATATGAGGTACTCTGCGCTGCTCCAGGAAGACTTTGCTTATTCAGGGTTTGAGTGCTGGGTAGAAAATGAGGATCAGATTCAGGAGTCACACAGCTGTCATGGTTCTGAAGGCCCCGGAAATCGACCCAGGAGATGCCGTGGTTGTGCAGCGTTGCGGGTTGCGGATTCTGACTATGAAGCCATTTGTAAGGTGCCTCGAAAAGTGGCCAGAAGTATTTCTTACGCCCTCTCTAGCAGGTGCTCTACGAGCATTTGCACCGAAGAACCGGCATTGTCAGAGGTTGGGCCGCCTGACTTACCAAGCACAAAAGTAGCCCCGGATGGGGAAAGCATGGAGGAAGGGACCCCGGGCTCCTCTGTGGAATCTTTGGATGCTAGTGTCCAGGCTAGTCCTCCACAACAGAAGGATGAGGAAGCAGAGAGAAGTGCGAAGGAACTTCTAAAGTGTGACTATTGTTCGGATGAACAGGCTCCACAGCATTTCTGTAACCACAAACTGGAGCTAGCTCTCAGCATGATTAAAGGTCTTGAATATAAGCCCCTTCAGAGTCCCCGAGGGAGCAAGCTTCCAATTCCAGTGAAATCCAGCCCACTTGGAGCCAAGCCTGGCCATATCATGACAAATGGAGTTAGTTCCAGTTTCCTTAACAGGCCCTTGACACCTGTGAGTTATTCCTTGGAGTTTGCGGACCTGCTGGAGCTATGGGATGATCTCTATGAAGAGTATTTGCCACTCCAAATCCAGGTATACACACCGACTGCTGCGTGTGGCGCCCTCCTGACGATCCACCCATAGACTTCTCATGGCGTGATTAGCTTCAGGAGAATAATGTTCTAGGCTTGAAAAAAACTAATCATTAAGCCCATTTTGGCTATACTTTTTGCTCATGCCCATTTAGTAAACGTGGTGTACACTTAGATAAGTTGCTTTTTCATAAACCTTTTGAGCATTATCTGTTGATTTTTCCATTGTTAAAAATTGCATCTCTTTCACGTGCCAAAAGAGAAAGATTCTTCTCCTGCAGAAAGAAGACATTCCGTCTCGCCTTTGGCACCCCAATCTCCCCCTGCCCTTGATTTCTGCCATTCTTTAGATTTGTGAATGACTTCTTCCATTGTCTTTCTGTAAGAGAGTTAGGTTCCTGGCCGTTCTCCTGTTGAGCTCGTCAGCACCCAGGTGCCTCAAATGATTCCTGCATAGGGTTAAGCCTATTACTCTGTCAAAAGAACACCTGGACAAGGTTTGCTGTGATTAACAGTCATTTGAGAGTTAATGGTGACTTGTTCATGCACGATCTTTGGGAAGGCAAATGTTGTCACTCATAAGGTTATTGTGAAAACTGCACAGACAGCTTTTCTACTGAGCCCTACTGGAAGACAGTTGTTAGTAAGAAAGGGACCCACTCACCCTGCTCTTGACTTTCTTAGTGATTGGAGAATGACAGTTGAACTTAATTTGAGCTATTCGTGTCCGCTTAACTGATTTCAGACCACCCTTTTAAATCCAGCTATTTACAGGGACTGATAGGTGCTACTCTGTTTCCATAGCAACACTAAATACTAGATTCAATAACTTTGTTAAACATCCTTAGCATATTGGCAAAGGTGGACCATCTAGAAGTCACTGGGAACCTTAGTCCTCAGTCAACAGGGTTCAGAAACTTTCAGCAGCCTGGTAATGAGTGAAGTTGAGATTCCATTTAAATGGGACTTTTGAGGCATAGTTAGGCAGCATGTAAAATTTGTATACTAATAAAAACTTTAGCAGAAAGCATAAAAATGTTTTAAAATTTATGGAAAACAATGCCTTCCTTTGTGTCAAAGTGTTAATCATTACATGCCTAGCACCTGGGTGCTTCCTTCTTTTCTTTAATGGAGCCTCATTTCTGTTTAGCTCAAACAGTATTTCCGTGACCAGACATAAATGCCACAAATTAAACATGGTATTCCCATATTTGGATCTGAAAATAGGCTGGTCACGATGAGGAAATAAGTTGTGTTTGCCTCTCAGCTATGGCCTAATACTGCTGCAAGTGGAACACCTGAAGGATTCCATGGAAAACAAAAATATGTTTACTCCATATTTAATTGAAAAATACCTTTCTTTGGTATTTTGCCTGGACTTAGCCAATTTTGGAACTGGGAAGGATTTTCAAGAGCATCCCTCAGTCAGGAACGTTGGGAAGCTATTGTTTAAGTAAGAGCTTTCGCAGAGCCAAAGATCCCTCACCGCTGTCAGCAGGACTTTTTAATTCTGTATATTTAATCACATCGCCTGAATCACATTAACTTAACCTGTTTTTAACCAAGAACCTGCTTTCCACACCCCAAGGATTTCACGGAGGTCTGGGGAGGAGGTTTCTGAAAAGAAATCTGAATGAGTGTGTAAACCATGGTAAGTGTAACCCTTTATCACAGTAACTGTGGTTGTCAGAGCTTTAAACTAGTGGGACACGACCTTCCTGTTGACTCAGGGCCTTATTCTCTGCTATATGGAGAATAAGACATTGGGAGGTGAGAAAATGGCATTGAGCTTCAAGAAAGAGTGTTTCATTACTATGTTTTTTCTAATAAGTAAAGGTGTAAGGCAAAATAGTTACCACGAGCTCAATGTGTTTGTAAACAAAATATGTATTTTATTCTAGCCCTGTGATCTATTGACTAAGTCTAATTGACTTTTAATCTCCTTAAGGGCTGTTGTGCTGTAGGGTAGAAAAAAGCCAGGTGGGGCAAGGACAGATGGGCTTTTATCTGTTTCTCTGAGCACACGTAGGAAGAATAAAACATTCTTGTTAGTTCTCTTTTTGCTTTGTAGATGCAAGAACCTGGAGAGCAAACTTTTTTCTACCTTAGGAAGGAAACCTGAGTGCCTTCTGCTTAGTCATTTTGATTCTTCTGTTTTAATCCTCCACTTAACCCTTTGTATGTGTATTAACTGTCAGCTTGAAAGCTCTTCCTGATGACTCTGCTTCCCTCCCATCCCCACCCTTACATCTCCTTCCTTAGATTAAGATAAGCAGCAACAGTATATTTCTCTTGCTTACTGATACTATGCAAATCCTTTATTTGCCTTCTGTGAGCACAGGCTCTTCAGATAATCTGCAGAAAGATTTGACTTGTTCTGGGTAGTAATTTCCTCCTTTATTGTCTGGCCCCGAAGTAGAAAAGCTATGCTGAGGGGATGTGGTCCCTTAGTAAACCCCAATTCTCAGAGCTCTGAGCCACTTAGAGGCTCTTTTCTGCCCAAATTCAAAGTGAGCACACCTTTGCTTCAAACCTGACAATGTCAAGATCTGCTCCTTTGGTACGTTTGTGAATTTGTCCCATTGCACCTTCGGGAAATAGAGACTTCAGACCCTAGTCAAAGCTTAGGCCTTTGATTTTCCATGAGCTGATGGTTCTTGTTTGCCTCTGATGATTACCCATAGGATAGAAAATTAGAGCAGTTTGAGATCTGTGACTCTATTAGGATTAGAACATGCCAGAAAAAATGCTGCTCATGCAGAGGTAAGAACAACTTTTAGCCTGGTGTTGTATATACTAAGCCTGGACATCGCTCTCCTTTTTCAGGTCAGTAAAGCATGCCTACTAACTCTAACTTGAAAGTGATTAATGTGGAAGGACAATGTGGTTAGGTCATGGTCTTAGAAGCCAAGTATCTGGGAATGACCCTAATGTTACTCAACTGACGATCACTGACATCAGACTCTGTAGAATCTTCTCAGGACCCATAAGTTTATGTACTTGGTACTTCATAGGAACTTAGTATACGTTCCTGACTCAGAGGAATTTACTAAATGCCCCTTGGGCTTCTCTGAAAAGGTTTTTTTTTTTTAAAAAAAAAACAAACTTCTGTCAAAAAATAAATTATGAAGAAAGGAGAAACGAACACCTCCCATGTTTTAAATAAGTCATTTACAGAATCAGAAGTTACCTGTGATTCAGGCTGAGACAGTTCACAGGAGAGGCAGATTCCTTGCCTATGGCAGTCTTCCACTTCAAAGCTGCTGCTCCTGTATCCTTGTGTTTATGGACACAGAGGCATAGAAACTACATTTATGTGAGTATAAATGAGAACATATAGATAAAATGATCTTGTTTTTCAGAGGGCCGCTAAAGGATCAGAACACTGCCCGGGGAGTAGGAGACAGGCCTGTTTTAGTTTGGCTTTGTTCTTTATTGGTCTTATTCATCAAGCACAAACCTTCGATCCCTAAAGTGTTCCTGACGGTTTGTGGTGAGAAATGACTTCATAGTAATAAAAGCTGCGTCACCAACTGCAATTTAGTTTCCCCTGGACACTTGTTGGTCTTTTTGGTCGCTTGGATAGCTTAGCCTACCTTGTGTGGCTTTCCTTGTATGGAGAGTGGAATGGAAGCTGGTTAGTCTATTGCTTCCTTCAGAGCCCCAAGCGCTCTGATTTAAAGTGGATAAATAGGACTGCCTTCCTCCCATCTTAATATTGGAACTACTCCCTGCTACCCAGCACTAGAGATTTAGGCATTGAGCCTGAGGTCTTGTGCAGGCTAGGGAAACATACCAGCTGGACTGTACTTACACCTAGCTTCTTCTGTTCTGCTTGCTACGGCTGAGATTTCAGGGTTGTAGTGGGCATTACTGGAAAGTTCTTTTTCACCGAGGAAACAATAAGCCAGGTCTTATAGAGGCAACATTGTCTCTATAATGACAATGTGTGTCCGTTAGAATTGGCAGTATCTATTTCAGTCATCTCTTGTGGTATGTAGATGACATAATTCATATTGCTTCAGGGGAGGCAGCTTGTAGTCACAGCAAGTATCTCAAGTATTTCTGGGAGCCGTCATCCTTGCTGCTTCTCCCGCCCCCAGTTGTCTGGAGCAGCAGCACATTAACTGCACCAGAGCCGTCCACTTCTCTCCTCCGCTGCCGTCTTTATAATCCAGCCACCTTTCTGACTCATCTTTCTTTCTGCTGGGCCTTCCTAACCGTCCATCCCCACTGAGCAGCTGGAGCAAACTGTTAGACATGTAAATATGATTGCTTTTCTGTTGGAAAGCACTGCATCCAGGACTGGGGACAGAGCTGCACAAGGCCCTAGGTTTGATACCCAGTCCCACCAAAAATAAAACGAGAGTGCATGAAATACTGCAGACAGTTCTCATTGTAGTGTCGATGAATCCAGCTTGATTATCCCCCTGTACAGGAGTGTAAGACCTGGGTTGTGCCTCCCTTAACACTTGACCCTGTTACTCCTCCCTTTGTCCAGGATGTTCTAAGAAGGCCCGTATCCCTCCTGTGCACTTGATCTGTGACTAATCTGAGTTGAAATGTGCTCTAAGTGTAAAATTGACCTCAGATTTCAAATACTTAAAATTTACATTTGTAATGTTTTAAAACGTTAGCTTTAACAAATTGTCAAAACTAAGTTCACTTTTTTTAAAAAAATTTATTCAGGGAAGCTATGAGAAAATAAAAAATTACCCATGTGGTTCACATTGTGTTTCCCTTGGGTTGTACCCTTCTAGACATATATGCCTTTCTTTTCCCGGACTCAGATTCCATCAGCTGTTCCCTCTACCTGGCTTGATGCTTTGTTGTTTTTAGAATGACTGGCTTCTTCCCCCTTCAGGTATCCATTTGGTTCTCAAAAGGAGCCCTCCTCTAGTTGATATAAATTAGCAGTCAGCAATTCTCTGTAGTCCTTTCCTGAGGACCTGCCGCCAGCTGCTACTCTGTACTTCCGTGTTTATTATGTAGCCAGCAAATCCAAGTGCTGCAAAATCTGCTTCAAGAGAAGTCACAGTGTTTCTCCTCCAACATGGCCTCTGCTTCTTAGTGCTCAACAGACGTGTATTGACGGAGTAGATGAAGTTAATGAGCTGTACTAAGAGGCAACCAGGGCAAATGGGCCCATTTCCCTCCCATTTCTTCTTAAAGCAAGCATTGAAGCCCAGCTTCTAGAGGACGCTCTCAGAAGTCTGTACTGTTTTATGAGTCATTCCGTCAACGTTCAGAACTCTTATGGTTGTTTTTATTTCCTGCCATGTGTTTATGTTTGAGACTATATCTTAGTACCTCTTTAACCATCTCACCGTTTAGGATTTTAGGATTTTGTTTTATCAATTTATTTAGTGGGGATAAAATAGCCTTTTAATGAGCTGTTCAGAAATAGCTGTGGGCTTATAAGTAAGGTAATAAAACATCCTTATTTGTACCTGTTTTTCCTGACAGAATTAATCGCACCCTTTTAATTCTTAGCAGTGGTTTAAAACTGGGTGTGGTGCTGCAGGCTTGTAATCTTAGCAGTTGAGAAGCTGAAGCAAAGTTGTGAGCTGAAGCCAGACTGGGTTATGAGATCCTCTCAAAACAAACAAACAAGCAAACAAACAAACAACCCTGCTGGTGTGAGTGGCCCTTTATAGGTTTCCCTCTGCTTAGAAAAGTAATGAAGTCGATATTTCGTATCCATTGGCCCTACCCATTCCTCCCATGTACCAGTAACAATCTTCCTCACTTGCCATAGCCCGCTGCGAGCATCTCATCCTTTTCAGGTCTAGGTAAGTTTTGTCTCAGCCAAGAACCCTTTTTATATGCCCTGTCAAAAATAGTCTTCCGGTGTGACCACTACCTCAACAGACCAGGACTGTTGGACCCGAGAACGAAACATTTGCCTGAACTGTACTCCCCCCCTGAACCTCACACAGCGTTCTGTGTTTTATAGTGTTAGAAATGTAATAAGCTGCCCTGCAGAAACAGAAAATGCCTGACTTCCTCCATCTAGGCCCTCGCAGGAAGATATTTAAAGTCAGCTGTAACCCCAGGCCCTGGAAGGTGGTAAAGTTTAAAGGTGTGAAGGAAAGATAGCAGTTCTTTCCTTCCCCTGATGAGAAAGGGGCTGGTGGGGAAAGGAGGATTTAATGCCATGAATTCCTTAGGTATCCAGTATTTTAGCTCATCGTGATCTTCAGGTAGAGTTTGATGGGTAGTCCATCTTACACTCTCTAAGACTGAGATTCTTAGAAAGTACATGTCCTTCCAGACTGTTATGGTTATGTTGGGAAAATTTTTATTTTCCTCCTTCATTTTTAATGACTTTGATTTATAGAGGCAAAACAAGAACAAAAACCTCCCATGCTTCCTCACCTGGATTTAACTGCTGTTTTGCCACATTTTGCTTTGCAAACAAGTGAGAATTATTAATAGTTTTAGATTTTTCCATTTACTATAGATATTCTCACACGTATTTCTTAAGGACAAGGATGTCTCTTATCAGCTGTAGAGTAAGGAGATTTGGTGGCCAGAAATGCTGTTTCCTATTGTATGGCCCATATTTTAAAAGGGCCACACATTTTCTAACAGTGAAAACAGGCTTGTTATAGGGTAGGTAATTGGAATATAACTTTGGCCCTTCAATGCCTTTGTTAATTTCTTAGTTAAAACAAATATTTGATTGTCATAACCCTGTCCATTTTTAAGTACCCCCTTCTCTTTCAATTCTGCGTTATTCGCTTTCCCCGACCAAGCAATGTCTGTGAGAACGGGCAGAGTGGGGACAACAAGGAGCCAGGTAGGGGTGGCAGTTTCAGATGCCTGGAAGCCACAGCTGCTGCACAGATCACCAGGTGACTTCCTGAAGACAGTCCTGCTGCTTGCTGAGAGTGCCCTCGGAAAAAGGAGGCCCAGTTTGAATGTGAAAATCGAATGGGTTACTGACCGCATTCACTCAGTGTGATTTGTCTCCCTGCTTCCTCCTAGCCCCATCCTGTAAAGTTACCTAAGCAACAAAAGCTGGACTCAGATGGGACCGCCGTAACCCAGCCTGTTACTGACTCCCGCTTGGAAGAGCTCCAGGAGAAAGTGCAGCAAACAGAGGCCACCAACAAGGTATGGGCAGAACTGGCTCCAGCCCAGCTCCATCATCCTGCGTAAGACTTGGGAGATGAATGCTGTGGCATCCCCAGTTCTCAGGGGGTATAGTTCATCTAAAAGGATAGTTGTACACTTGTATCTTTATGTCCTTTCTTGTATGTGTATGTGTGAGTTGCATGTATACAGTAGGTATGCATTTGGTTGCACATGTGTGCGTGTGTGGACCAGAGGTCAGTCTCAAGAGTTGTTCCCCAAGAGCTGTCTACCTTGAGCTATTTGGGAGACATAGTCTTACTCTGGGACCCAGGGCTTGAAAATTAGGCTAGGTTGACTGGCCGGCAAGCTCAGGGACTCATCTGTTTCCACCTTCCCAGAGTTAGGATTGCAAGCACGCACCTTCCAAGCCTGGCTTCTTATGTGGCTGCTAGGTTCAAACTCAGGTCCTCATAGCTTGCTCAGCCCTTTCCTTTGCTTCTTATCAGGGTTTTAATTTGTTCCGTACATACCTCAATTTCTGATGCCATCTAGGAGTGAGATTAGACCATCTATGTAATCCTTAACTCCATGGTAAGGCTCTGAGACCGGAAGCTTGTGCTTTTGATTTTAGTGTAACTTCTTTTTTTTTAATATTTATTTATTATGTATACAGTATTCTGTCTGTGTGTATGCCTGAAGCCCAGAAGAGGGAACCAGATCTCATTACAGATGGTTGTGAGCCACCATGTGGTTGCTGGGAATTGAACTCAGGACCTTTGGAAGAGCAGGCAGTGCTCTTAACTGCTGAGCCATCTCTCCAGCCTTAGTGTAATTTTTTATTCCTCTATATAGCGCATAGATTTTAATGTCTGCCTGCAAGGCAGTTGTCCCAAGGGGGTTCCTGAATCCCTGCTATAGTGTGCTCGTCCTATACTAGATTGCAGGCACTCCTTGGTTCTGTGGAGGGGCCGAAAGAATAGTGTGGCTGTCAGCACGGGGGGTGCGCAGTGCATGGCACTGAGGTGTGTGAGCAGTGAGGGAAGCAGTTCACATCTGTGCCCCTCTTCATAGTCAGACTCTCATGCTTACCGTGTATGAGAAGGAAATACGACAGCATGCCCTAAGACTTTCTCGAAACCCGAGATGGTCAGGACAGGTTGCTGGCCCTCGAGGTTAAAAGCCACCAAGGAGTTAACAGAGTTTCTCTTCTGAATTCAGATTCTTGAAGAGAAACTGAATGAAATGAGCTATGAACTAAAGTCTGCGCAGGAGTCATCTCAGAAGCAAGATGTGACGATTCAAAGCCTCAAGGAATCGCTAAAAAGCAAGCAAAGTGAGGTAAAATGTTATATAATTACAGACCCGTGGGAAATAGTTCATCTCGTTTGTAGAAGTCTCCTCTGTCAGATTATCAAGCCTTATCATGGGAAACGGTCCCCTTAGGTATTTGGAATGATTCGGTCACTAGCATCTGTACAGGAGCGATAATGTCATTTATGTGCAGTTTGCTAACACAGGGGTGCTATCCTCTCTCGCTTTCAGACCGAGGAGCTGTACCAGGTGATTGACGGTCAAAATGGCACAATGGCAAAGCTTCGAGAAATGCTGCACCAAAGCCAGCTCGGACAGCTCCACGTATGTGAGGGCCTGAGGGCCGTAGGCGGGGCTGGAGTCCCCTGGGTTGCGCAGTTCTCTCAGGACTTTTCCTCCTCGTGATTGTGATTAGGATTCTGCTCTTTTCAGGGCTCAGAGGGCGGTGCCCCAAGTCAGCACCAGGTGGCCCTGCTTGACCTTCAGAGTGCCCTGTTCTGCAGCCAGCTCGAGATCCAGAAGCTCCAGAGGCTGCTGCGTCAGAAGGAGCTGCAACTGGCTGACGTCAAGCGATGCATGCAGTTTGTCGAGGCTGCGGCGCAGGAGAGAGAGCAACAGAAGGAAGCTTCTTGGAAACACAACCAGGTAAATCATTTACCGGTTTATTGCTCCCAACGCCGTCTTTGCCTGGCAGGACGGTTTATGCTGAACCTGAACCCTTGAGTCATTTGCTCGTCTAGTTTAGTTCGGTATTTGTTGCCCCTGGGTCATGTACTAGGCGAGCAGACTGTGTCCTGGAAGCACAAAGGTGAATATCAGAGACTCTACCTCTTAAATTATTTAGTTTAATAGGAGAAGCAGCCACATGACAGAATTTCAGTGGGGCAAAAACTGCCAAAGAGGCAGCTTTATGTTCCAATAGCAGTGATTAGGGGTGGCTAAGGAAGGAATTTGAGACCCTTCTGCCAATTTGAGATCCTTCGGCCTCAGGCTCTCTGTAGGCTGGGATTATAGGCAGGTGCCCTGCTTGTCTTGAAAGTATTCTGACCTTCATACCTAATGATCACAAGGGAAGCTTACTTTTAAAGAGGATCTGTTATTTCAGGAGATACGAAAAGCTTTACAACACCTCCAAGGAGAACTGCACAATAAGAACCAACAGATTCATGCACTGGAGATGGAAAAATACAATGAGATTCGAATCCGGGAACAAAGCATCCAGCACCTCCATCAAAGCCTGAGTCTCAAAGAACAGCTGCTCCGGGTGAGTTCTCAGATGAAGCCAGGTTTCTAGAGCTCTCATGTGCCTGCCTCCAGGCCCGCCCTGTGCCTCCCGTGTGAGTGCTGGAGCTGGAAACGCATCACTGAGTAGGACACACAATCCATGAAGCGGTACGCTCCCCAGCAAATCAATAACTGCACACACACATGTAATCCACAGAGGCAGGCTCAGCAGAGAGAACACCTCTGAGTCACACGACAGGAGATGTGCTCTTCCACAGGGTTCAATTGCAGAATGAAAATTTTCGGGACAAATGGGGCACTAAGAGACACAGTCAGTCGTTACCTACTCAAAGCTTTGGGCCTGTGCCACATTTTCTTTTTGGAGATACCTTTGTGCTGTATCTAGTTTTGTTTTGTTCTAGGGTCTGACTATGTGACTCTGGCTGACCTGAAACTCTGTAGCCCAGGTTGGCCTCTAATTTAGAGAAATCCACCTGCCTCTGCCTCCTGAGTTCTGGGATTACAGGAATGCTCCACCAGGCCTAGCTCAAAATCTTTTGCGAGATTTTTACTGACACCTTTAGTCAGAGCCAGGCAGTGTGTCCTGTGTTTCCATGAGCAGACGAGCTCGCCTGTTTGTCTGTCTTTTGTAGAATCATTAACAATTTACGTTGTCTGTTATCTCTGAGTGTTTTGTATATGTGTGCTAAATAACAAATTTCTCGAGGGAAAAAAAATGAAGAAATTCATCTAAGAGGTAAAGGAATAAAGAAAAAATGCTTTTGTCTTGTTAGGAGTTTCAGGAGCTCCTACAGTATCGAGATAATGCAGACAAAGCTCTGGAAACAAATGAGATGTTGCTTGAGAAAATGCAGCGGCAGATACAAGACCGAGCCGCGGATCTGGAGGTACGCAGCCAGTTCCCCCACTGCACTACCCATTGGCCTCGCTGCCCCTGGTGTCTAAATGAAAAAGCCTTGGACTTTCAGCTTTCCGTTCTTCCCCATTTGGAATCTATTGGATTAAAGGTGCCAGTTCAGCGAACCCTCCGGAACTTAGGGGCCTTTTTTCCTTGCAGCGGGCTATAGATGAGAAGTTCTCCGCTCTAGAGGAGAAGGACAAGGAATTGCAGCAGCTTCATCGTGCGGTGAGAGAGCGAGACCATGATTTAGAGAGACTGCGTAGTGTCCTGTCCGCCAATGAAACTACCATGCAAGTAAGAGCCAAATCCAGCTTGCTCTCTTTCCCCAGCCCCATCATTGCTTTCTATGCCTGAAGGATCAGCTGCTCCATTGTTCTCTGAAACCCAGAGTTTCAAAGCCAAAGACCTGTAGCATTTACTCGTTCCTCCTCCAGCAGTAGGGAGAAGGCTCTGAAGCTCTCTTTTACATTATAGACTTACAGGGGAGCACTGCGTGGTGAGTGCTGTTTGTGTGGTTCTAACTTCTCATCCTTGCCTATTCATATGGAAATGCACATACGCTTTTCCGTGAGCATTGTGGGACATGTATATACACACATATTTTATACTGTGTTTTTCTCACTGATTTTATATAGGTATCAATGTATTATATGACTGCTCCTTTTTATTTATTTATTTATTATGTATACATTGTTCAGCCTCCACATATGCCTGCAGGCCAGAAGAGGGCACCAGATCTCATTACAGATGGTTGTGAGCCACCATGTGTTGCTGGGAATTGAACTCAGGACCTCTGGAAGAGCAGTCAGTGCTCTTAACCTCTGAGCCATCTCTCCAGCCCCCCTGCTCCTTTCCTTAGCATATACTTTTAGGTTTTTTTGCAGACTTATTTTAGACCCTCTGTAGCTACCGTCTGTCAGTTATTAAAGAAGCCATTCACTTTTTCCCTGGGGAAACTGCCCCTCCCACAGTCCTACTGTAGCACGCATTCTGTATTTAAAGGAAAATACCGCTTTGACATTCTGTTTTCTTACAAAAGGGACAGGTGGATGTGAGTTAAAGGTGGGACTAATTCTCTTATCCTGAGGGTGCGGGATGCCCCTTTGGCTTATGTTTGCTGTGTCTGTCCCTGCAGAGTATGGAGAGTCTCCTGAGGGCCAAAGGCATGGAGTTGGAACAGTTAACTGCCACCTGTCAAAACCTGCAGTGGCTGAAGACAGAACTGGAAACCAAGTCTGGCCGCTGGCAGAAGGAACAGGAGAGTGCCCTCCAGCAGTTGCAAACATCCCTGCGCAACAAGGACAAAGAAATGGAGGCAAGGCTTCCGCACTCCAGGGCATTGGGTGTGCATGCAGGCAGCGCTCTCCAGGCCTCCAGAGCCAGCGACCCAAGCCTTCAGTTATATTCTGTCCCTGGGCGAGTGACTGCCTTTCCCCGAATTCTCTTTACAACCATAACTTAGCGTGTCATTTATCATTCTTAGAGAAGCCGTATGAGAATTCATTAATTAGATCTAAAAAAAAAAAAACCTCTGTATTATAATAGTTAGAATGTAATTGCTGGGTCAGGCACTGTTATAAGAGCTCAATGGAAATGGACTTAGTGGATCCTCCCAAGGTCGTGAGGGCACACTCTGCTTTGAAAGCAAAGACCCAGGCGCTTGAGGTTAACTTGTCAGAGCAGCATGGCAGAGCTGCAGAGCCGCTTCAGTCCAGCCAGCAGGGCTCCACGGCTTTAGCACCGTCTGGTGTATGTCTGTGGATGGAAGCTGTAGTGGCATTGCTCTTCTTACAAATACCATTTCCTTCTCACTTTATGTCCAGGCTGGCTCCAAGCTTGCATTCTCCTGTTAGAGGCTTGCAGGGGCTTGGGCTTGCAGGAGTCGCGTGCCCCCTCATGCAGACCCTCAGTCCATTAGCCCTCTCTAAAGTTATACTGCGGAGGAAGCAGCTGAGCTCAGTGTCCCTTTGCTGCACCCTCCCTTAACTGCTATGTGCCCAAGCATAGGGAAAACTGTTATTTCAGAAATCATTGTGAAGCTGCCATTCTAGGTGTTTCTCTGTATTCATATTCGTTCACTGAGTATGTCTGTCCAGCCTTCCAACTCATGGACCTGTGCTAGGCCTGGGGGCACAAGGGATGAGACGTGTGGGGCAGAGGGAATTCTGCCCTCCAGGCATTTACGCCATCCCTCTCGCGTTAGGAACTCCGGGCAACACTACTCTGCAAACTCGAGCCCTGCCAGAGTGAGATAGCCGAGGAGCTGTGCCAGCACCTGCAGCAGAAAGAGCGGATGCTGCAGGACCTTCTGAGTGATCGGCGCAAACAAGCTGCGGAGCACGAGATGGAGATCCAGGGGCTGCTCCAGGCGATGAGCACCAGGGAGCAGGCGAGCCAAGTAAGCGCTAATGCAGAAGCAGACAGGGATCCCCTGCTGCACTCGGGGTCATCGGACAGGAAGTGTCTGGAGCTGCTGACTTGGGCTCGCTCTCTCCACAGTCTACTTGGCAGTTCTCCATCAGTCTGAATGAAATGGTTTGAACACTGCATCTGGAAAGTGGCCTAGACAATACATGCATCCAGTATTTTTGTTTTCTTAATCTTCTGATTGTTCGGAGAGATAGAGGAATGGAATTCTGAAATACTATCTAAGTTGTCAGGACTTGAGTGATAGTCCATACCTCAAAAGAGTCCAAATTTTCCATCCTGAAGATGTGTATTTTTAATTGTCATTTAGAAGTTGCGAGGGGAGCTCAGCTTTGGTTTCATCCTAGAGAAAGTTAGTGCTATAATTTAGCTAACATGGTTCCAATTCATTATCTCAATCCCCTAAAAGTTTACAATTATGATTGTATGTTGGAGGAGGCCGTTAATTGGTTCCCAGCCGGCTGAGCCCCAAAATATTCACACAGAAACTGTATTAATTAAATCACTGCCTGGCCCATTAGCTCTAGCTTCTTATTGGCTAACTCTTACATCTTAATTTAACCCACCTCCATTAATCTGTGCCTCACCACGAGGTCCTGGCCTACCAGCAAAGTTTCAGCACATCTTTCTCAGTCTGTCTCCGGCAGCGGCTTCATGGCTTCTCACTAACTCTGCCTTCTTCCTCCCAACATTCAGTCCAGCCTTCCCTGCCTACCTCTACTCTGCCCTGCTCTGGTATAGGCTCAAAAAAGTGCTTTATTAACCAGTGGCATTCACAGCATACAGAGGGGGATTCCACATCAACTGTATGTATACATGATGGTAGACATGATGCATGAGTAGGCACATGCACAATGGTGCATTGATGGAAATCAGAGAGCAGCTATGTGGAGTTCATTCTCTTGCACCTTTACATGAGGTCCAGGGATCAAATTCAGGTCACTGGACTTCTGTGGGAAGCACCTTCACCTGCTGAACTATCTTGCCAACCCTAAATGCATTTCTATACATTAATGGTCACACATAAATTCTAGGTCTTCCTCTTGTATCGCTATCATCTTAGAAAATTGGTAGAAATACACTAGTTTGATTGTTTAAATTTTCTCTATTAATTGATGGTTTCATACATTTATATAATATGTTGGTCAGTCTCAAATTCTCTTTTCTCCTCTATCTCCATTCTCAGTGGGACCTACCACTTGTTTAAACAAAACAAAAACCTATGGGACCCTCAGAAATAACTTTTCTGCTCAGAATTTATAAAGGAAAATAGTGGAGTAGAAAGTCTTTCCCAGGCAGAATTGTGTGCACAGTAAACAGCAGGACTGGACCAGATGAGACAGCCTGAAACAGGCTCTCCAAGGCCTCTACCAGGCTAAGGTGTGAAGATCTGGGGCAGAACTGGCCCAACAATGACTTCCTTTACTCTAGTTGCTTCGTCACCCTCAACTGCCTTTTACCCAAACATCTGTATGGCTGAGTTCTTTGCCAAACATGACCTTATCACACTGGCCTCTCTATCTAACATGTAGTCCCACAGACAAAGAGTGTGGGCGTTCAGTCTGAGTGAGTACCACTGGTCACAGTGGCACAGAGTCTTGGTTTGGAGCTCTGGGCCACTTACCTGCCGACACACAGTGACTAGTGGCTGAACTGATTAGTGACCATCCGCAATGTGCACGCATGTATCAAAGCAGCTTGTTACATGCCTTGAATACATACAGCTTTTATTTGATATACATACATACATACATACATACATATACACATACAAATTTTATTTAAAGTGTGGGGGGGGACACCCTCCCTCCACTCTCCAAATCCTGCTATGCTTGATTTTGCTTGATGCACTTCCTGCTACCTAATATATCCCCTTACGTTTTTCCTGTTTTCTCCTCCTCAACAAGAATGTATATTTCAAGAGCCACTTAGTGCTAAATCCCAAGTACCCAAACATGACTTGCCAGGAACGGGCACTCAGTATATACTTACTGAATGCACTTACTTCATGGGTGCTAGAGGGATGTCTCAATAGTTAGAGCACTCTTGCAGAGGCCCTGCGTGCAGTTCCCAGAACCTTCAGGTGATTGATAGCCATCTGTAACTCCAGTTGCAGAGGACCTCCTCTGGCCTCTGTAAGCACTGCACACGCCTGGTACACAGATATGCACACAGGCAAAGCAGTCATGCACATAAAATAAAAATAAGTCTTTAAAGAATTTTGAAAATGTTTTATTTGTTTTACTGTGATATCTTTCTAATAATGTTTGTTATGATTCCTTTCTTACCAGGCAGCTGCAGAGAAAATAGCGCAAGCCTTCCTGGAAAGAAACTCAGAATTACACGCCCTACGCCAGTACTTAGGGAGAGACCTTGGCCCCTCTCGGGCGCCCCACTTAAACCAGCAAGTTGAAGTGGCTTTCGTCAGCCCCCACCTGGGAGATCAGACTGATCAAGTAAGAACTGTAGACTCACATAGATATTCATAGCAACTGCATTTTAGTGAGACTGTTCAGTCTGTCGCTGTGTTCATAGTCCCTATGTCTTTCTAAACCCACAACCCTTCTGCTTCACAGAGTTCCATGCAGGTGCCCTCTGGAGACGATAGCACCTCGCTGACTGCTAGGGAGGATGCCAGCATGCCCAGGTCCATGTTAGGTGAGCGCCAATTCTGCTTTGTGGGGATTCCTGTTGCTTTTCCTTGCCCCATTGCTGTTGAGTAGATTCAGCCAGGACACTGAACGTCATGATAGTTCAGAAAACCAGTTTGGAGTCCCCTGAAATCTGGAGACTCATCACTTCTAAGAAAAACTGTCCAAACCTTACATTTTTTTTTAATTTATTTAACTCATTGTTAGACCAATTTACATATTAAAATTTACATATTAAAAATTAAATGTTAACTTCAGAAATTAAATATATGTAAAGGTATACCCGGAAGCCCTTTTCTCTCTTGTTTCTACTCACTCCCTGACTGTAATAAGTTTCCTTTCTGGATTGTCCTCCTTTGTATGTTTTTACAAAGTAAGCAGGTGATTTACATGTGTATATGGATAAGTTTGTCATTTCCTTCTTCACCTACTAAATGTATTCTTTTGCATCTATATTTAGTATCATTGAAATCCAAATGTTCACCAACATCATTCTCATTTTTTCTCAGCTGTATAGTGTAGTCTGCTGGACGAACATGTGATAGTCTATTCCTTTCATTCTTTTTAGCATATAGATTGATTGTGGGGTTTTTATTATAAATATTGTTACACATTAAAGCAGGTTTGTACATTTTTTTAAGTGCTGCAGGGCAGCAGAGATCACAGCATGTTTCAGTGATTAAAAGTCGTGTTGTGCATTCACTTCAGGAGACTCGGACACAGTTGCAGGGCTGGAGAAGGAACTGAGTAATGCCAAGGAGGAACTCGAGCTCATGGCTAAAAAAGAAAGAGAAAGCCAGGTAAGTTCGTTAGTGAAGACCAGTCCATGGCTTCCTGTTGTTTCTTTCAAACTGGTTCATACTTTAAACATTCCAATTCTCCATGTATAATACCTGGCTCCAAATTCAAGAGACACCTTTCTTCTTTTTGGAGAGGAACACAAATTGTTGTATGACTTCATCACCTCAACAAGATGCTTTCACTGCAATGAAAGCATCAGGTCTTTTTGCTTCTTCCTCCTCTTGGTAAGCAAAATAAAATAATTGTAAAGCACTTTTGCCAAACAGAAGTGTTGTGTAGCTCCTGTCTAAAAAGATGGCGTTGGATACATGAACTCGGCAAACAGTAAACAGGAGGCGGTGAGCATGAGCAATGCTGTGCACTGAGTACTCTTCCTGTGCTCTGTGCTCGTCAAGTGAAATGGGTGATAAAATCACTAATAGGAAATACTATTTTTTTAACACAGATATGGGGTCTAAAACCTAAATTGAGGCTTAAACTCAAGTCTTAAAATGCTGACTGACAGTAGCCAGGCAGGAAATATAGGCAGGGCAATCAGACTAGGAGAGTTCTGGGAAGAGGAAAGACAGAAAGTCAGTTACCAGCCAGACACAGAGGAAGCAAGATGAGAATGCCTTACTAAAAAAAGGTACCAAGCCACATGGCTAAACATAATAAGAATTATGGGTTAATTTAGGTTGTAAGAGCTAGTAATAATAAGCCTGAGCTAATAGGCCAAACAGTTTATAATTAATATAAAGGCCTCTGTGTTTCTTTGGGACTGAATGGCTGCAGGACCAGGCAGGAAAGAAAGCTTCATCTACATATTGTGCTGACTGATGGCAAGGTTCCTTTGTAGTAGCAGCATGCTCTTCACCAGGAGACCTGTAGTTTGGTGATCCCTGGTGGTGTCAGCAGCTATAGCTGCTCAATACCTTAGGAATTCATGAAGCGGTATAAAACACAGGCATTCTAAATCCACCATGTTTTCATGTATTACCTGAAGTATTTGCATAAAATTAACAGCTTTTCTTCTTGCTTCTGCTAGTTGTAACCAACTTTGAAATATCCCAGTGACCCCATTAATTAAATTTGTTATTTGTAGTAATAGAAGACATGGAAAACATTCTTGTGGTTTCTTTTAGAGTATCCTTTGATTGCACACATGTTCTCTCGATTTGATGCATGGCACTACTCTTGTATTACTGACTGATTGTAATATGCCATGAGACAGCATTCTCCTCTCCTGTTGGTTTCTCTCTCCACAGATAGAACTGTCTGCCCTACAGTCCATGATAGCTGTCCAAGAGGATGAACTGCAGGTGCAGGCTGCTGACTTGGAGTCGCTGACCAGGAACATACAGATCAAAGAAGACCTCATAAAGGTCTTTCACAGCTTTGTAAAACCTGGAATCTTGTGTGCCTCAGCTAGCTGTAGGGCATCCTCACACAGGATACTGAATTCCCTGGCCTTGAACTAGAACAGAAGGATCTGCCCCTTGCTCCTCTGCTGTGTGACGTCATCACCGTCTTCATGTTTGCGTGTATTTTTTTTCTAGGATCTGCAGATGCAGCTCGTCGACCCTGAAGACATACCAGCCATAGAACGCCTGACCCAAGAGGTCTTACTTCTTCGGGAAAAAGTTGCTTCAGTAGAACCCCAGGGTCAGGAAGTTTCGGGAAACCAGAGACAACAGGTGAGCTCTTGGGACACAGGTTCCTCTGGAGCTTCTACCGCGTATCTAAGCTCCTCGGTGCAGAGTCTTCAGAAAGTCTGTGTGCCTCGCCTGTGTACCTGTCTGCACGGCCCTCTCCCTACCCACCTCACTCCGGTCTGGCAGTCCTGACTGCTCTGTCTGCCGGCTACACGTTCCTATAGCTCGTCTTCAGCATGGCTTACGGCTCTGGGTGGGGAATGTATTTCCTAAGCTTTTCCCTAGACCTAGACCAGCGTGTGTGACAATGCGGATCTGTTCAGTGAGTTCCGAGTGGAAGGACTTCAGAAAGAGCACTAAGTTGTTGGTGCTTCCGACTTATCATCCTTGCCTTCCTCCATCCTTCCATCTTAGACCCTTCCCTTTCTCTAGACTCCCTCTCTCCCTCCCTCAGTTCTCGCTCCCATGTTTGCACTTGACTGATAGTTTTAAAGGTATAAAATGCTAACAGGTATAATGCTGCTTTGAAAGCCATGAAAGCTGAAGTGATAAATTGACAGTTGGTCACCGTGTGCGCTAATCCCGTGTTTGGTCTCTCAGGATTTCCTGTGGCTCTGTGTCTCACTTTGCTCTTTCCACATTGCTGCCTCTCTCTTCCTTAGCTGCTGCTGATGCTAGAAGGACTGGTAGATGAACGGAGTCGGCTCAACGAGGCCCTGCAAGCCGAGAGGCAGCTGTACAGCAGCCTGGTCAAGTTCCATGCTCATCCGGAGAAGTAAGAGAGGGGCCGCCTGGCTCACTTACCTTCAACTTTCATTCTCTTTCTTTCTTTCTTTCTTTTTTTTAAATCAAGTTTATAATGATAAACAGATGTTTACAGTACCAAAGAGGAGGAAATAGGAAGTTACCCACCTTGTGATCTGTTGTATGGCTTGACCTGAGCCTCGGGGTCTGAATCTTAAATTAGAAATGGGATTTCCCATTGTTACCCGAGAAGACAGGTTGGGGTATGGCAGTGCCTTGCGCACAGTGAGCACCATGGGCTCCTTTCCATCTCTGCGCCGTGTTCTGCTGAAGCCTGCTCTTCAGTGAACAGTAAGGCTGTCAGTGCGCTAACACCAGGTTCATGGCGACACAGAACATGTATTTGTTATGGTGGCAGATCCACCCAGAATCACGGTTCTCAATTTTAATTTACATTTGCTATATCTTTATGACTCGTTCAGAGCACCTTCACTTTTCTTTTGCCTTCCTTCCTGGCCTCTGTTCTTTCTACAATTATTATTATTATTATTATTGTTATTACTATTACTATTATTACTATTATTATTCGGTTTCCCATAATTTCTCATTGGCTTTAGAAGTGCTTTATTTCCACCTCAGGAAAGGGAAAGCAGGGGAAGGTGGTAGGTACTGGTGTTGCCTTTGAACATCTGGAATCCCCCTCCTTGATGAACTGCTTTCGCTGGGAGCACTGCCAGTTTGGTGCAGATGTGAAAACAGCACTCTCCAGCCCTCAGCTCATGCGGGACTCAGTTCACATAACAACATTTCCCTTCTGTTGGGGCAGGGATGTGCTATATATTTGTGTGGGAGTGGCCCAGAGTATAGCTAAAGGGACAGAGTTTACAGAAAGGTGCAGGCCTTGCTTCTCCTCCAGCAGTGAACACAGGTGCCGCACAAAGACTACACTGCTCACTTAACCCTTGTCTTTGAGACCTTAGGAAGTCTGGTGGCCCAAGCAGCATAGACGGCTCTTTGGGAACGTGCGGACTCCTATACTTGATGGCTAACTCATTCTCCTTCCATGTGGCATGTTTAATCAGCTCTGAGAGAGACCGAACTCTGCAGGTGGAACTGGAAGGGGCCCAGGCATTACGCAGTCGGCTAGAAGAAGTTCTCGGAAGAAGCCTGGAGCGCTTAAACAGACTGGAGAGCCTGGCCGCCATTGGAGGTGGGGAACTGGAAAGTGTGCAAGTCCATCACAAGCATGCCTTCTGAGCACTGGCGGGTCACACTGCAGCCCGGGATGGAACCCTGTTCACACTAACCAGAGAAAGTCGTGTCTGACTGGACAAAATGCGTGGTGACTTACTAATGGTAGGATTGTGGTCACTCGCGGCTCCTGCAAAGGGAAAGTCACCGTAGTGTCCCCGAGCTTCACTACGCTGCTGTCTCCGTTACACATGGAGGTCATGAAGGAGACCTGCACACCCTAGATCATTCCATTTTAATTCCCATAGCCACTCACCCTTCCCCCTAGCCTCTGCTCATTCCTCTACCCCTTCCGCGGGCCAATAAAGTTTATCCCCCCCCATCTCACCACCCATTTCACATGTCCCATATCATGTCATAAAATGCATGTGTGTGTATTATTTTGCCATCCAATCAAATCATGCTCTCTGAAAGCAATTTTTAACCAAATAAAGGAATAGAGTAAGTTTCAGGTTTAGAGAGAGATTGAGAGTTCATCGAGCTGCTTTGGGGAGAGGTGTAGCCGTACTAAGGATACAAAACCAGGAGAGTAGACTTAGGCTAAGTTAAGGAGCAGAGACCATAAAAGTGTTTGTGTTAAATCTTGCTCTCTAAGGCTGCTTTAGAGTTGACTGTTGAGAGTCACAGATGAGATCAGATTAGCGGACTTTAAGTTCTAGTCTATAAAAGTCTGGAACATTCTTGTTCCTCACTGTCCTAGGGCTTCTGCAAGCCAGAGACATGGCCTTTAGTCAGAACATGACTTAGAGGAGGGGCTTCCAAATCCGAATTCTCTAGGAGAAAGATACTAGTCTATGTGGTGTTTCCCACCCCTCCCCCATGTTTCATTTTGTTTTGGGTTTTGGTGTTTTGTTTGTTTTTTTAGACAGGGTCTCACTGTGGCTGGCCTGGAATGTGTTGTGTAGACCAGACTGGCTTTGAACTCACAGAGATGCACCCGCTTCTGCCATCTGGGTGCTAGATTAGAGGCGTGGCCACCTCTCTCACCTGTCAGTACCCTTTAAAGCAGCATTTTCCTGTGTCTCAGCATCAGAGAAAAGTCCATTTCTAGATCCTTGTTTGGAGGTGACGCATGTGTGTCCGTTACCTTACCCCTGCTCGATGTATGTATGTCCTCATACGAGAGGAAGGAGTTCTGTGGGTGTGAATGTGCCCAAGTCATTCAGAAGGAAGACCAGAATTCTGTGTGTAGGATTTAGTCAGTCTCTACTTCCTTAGAACAACATAACAGATAGAGAAAGGGAGCTTCAGATTTCGTCTCTAGCATCTTACATGTCAGGAAAATGAAAAAGAACAGGTTATGCAGGGGCTGTGGATTCTGCACCATAAGGTTTCCTACTGCTGAAAGTATGGATTTCCTAGAGAAGCTAAGGCTGCAGCTCCGCTGAAGACGGTACTGAGGGAACATAATTCAGGCTTTCCAGCACCCTAAGAAAGGCCGAGTCCCCTTCCGAAGCTAGACCGAGTTCATGGTTTTTCCTTTCCCTTCCTTTGGCCCTGGCACTTCACATCCACGTGCTGCCATGCTGCTGTATTACATTCTAAATTCTCTCTGAGATTGTGTCTGTAACAGATGACTGTCAACCTGAAGTGGACAGGAGGGGAGTATTCTACCACAGAAACATCCTGGAGTCTTCTGGTGAAGTAGTTCACAAAGATTGACAGTCATGCCTTGCTTAGAATGGATGTGCTAATTCAGTTTTAACAGCCAGCCGTTAGGGGGAAAAGGAATCATTTGATAGGAAAGATAGAGGTGTTTGTATAAGCAGAACCATCCGATTTTCTTAGTCCCCTTGTTTTTAAGAGATTTTAAGGTCTGCCTGCACAAAACTTCATGTAACTAGCAAATAGGGAAGAGGGTAATAGAGCTGAGCTATAGACACGTCAGTCAAAGACTAGTCTGTCAGGTCATTACAGGGCTTTTAGGAAATGTGTTTACTTTTCTATTAGACCAACATGGTTTTGCAACGCTGCTATTAAGTTTCAACTGTAGGTGACTCTTGAGTTCTGAGGGTTCCCAGTGATCAATGTCTGTTAATAATTAGTCCATCTGCCAACCTCTAACAGAAGCAGGTTGATAGATGGGCAAATTGTTATTGATTCCAAAAATGTGACTAAAATCTGGTACTAACTTTCTGGCCTTGATGCTAGGATGAGACTGGGGGCTGTGCTGCCTGGAGAGAATGTGCTGGGCCCACAAGCTTGTGCGGTGATTTGACATCCGGTTACAGAACACAGTTCTTACGAATTGTCGCGTGTAAGCCACAGGTGGATGGTACTGTGATCCTATACATCATTCCTTTAATTGGATTAACATGTTCGAATCTTCATTCCTCTGTAGGAGCACAGACTGTTAGCTGTATTTATTCGTCTTTGTTGGGACTTTTAAGAATCTTTCAATAAACTTAGATTTAAAGTGACTTACTCGTAGAAGCTTGTGCTTCAATAAAAACTTTCTTGAAAGAAAAATAACAAAGTAGATTTTCCCATGGGCTTTGCTTATTTAGAAGCATTGAACTTAAATTTAGAAAAATCCATTATTGATAGATTTCATTTGTCTCATATTTCCTTTTAAATAGTGGGAAAAATCTACAGAGTAATGGTTCTAATGGTCAAGTAGACAAGTCTAGTTTTGGGAACTATTGAGTTGAAAAGGGGTTCCAGAAAAGTTCAGTTAAGGAATAAAATGAAAGTCCTTCTGACATACTTTCTCCAAACTCTCCCCTAATTTAGACTTTTTTGTTGCTGTAGATTTGATGTGGGGGCTCGAACCCAGAGCTTTGTACATGCTAGTGAGGTACTGTCCCACTACCACATATAAATCATACTGAAACCCGATTGTTGGTAGGCTTCTAGTGTTCAACATCTCTGATGTTCTATTTTTTTAAAGCAATTTAGCCAAGTTATAATTTCTGGGAAGGAATAGTTGAGCTGTTTTAATATGCCACCCTACTTCGGCACGATGCATGCTTTGTATCTCCCCGACTTCTGCCTCGTCTGCCTCCGTACCCACAGCTCTTCGTTCAGGTCCAGACACAGCAATGTTTTTACCACTGCGGATTGTAGGGAAAGCTTTTAGCTGTCTTATAGGCAGAAAGAGACCTATTAAAGAGCAAAAAATCAACCTGGGGAGGATTTCCACAGGCGTACAGAGTCTCCTCAGAGGGTCTTGTAGACAGGACTTACAGGGCTTACACGTAAGTGCCATCTGCGGAAGAAACAGTGCCACCACGTGTGTGCTTGTTTGCGCTCCTAGTTCAGTATCGATTGTAAGGGCTGGGCTTACGGCTTCAGAACAGTTCAAGAAAGTTGATTCAGCTCTCTCTCCTGTCTCTGACCTCACATTGGAACCTCAGGGTGAGGGAGAGAAGTGGCAGGTCACACTGCACTGCCACCTGCCCGTTTCTCGGAGTAAAACTGACCTGGCTGCCTGAGCTCCTCGGTTAAGCCAAGCTGGAAACACTTTCCTGCTTTGGTTTTCCTCGAGCTGTCCTTACAGAGCTCTGAGCCCGTTGTTCAGGCATTCCTTCAAATGCCGCGGTCCTAAAACCCAGGCTTACTACACAGAGAACCTCTGCGGCAATTTTCTCCTTTTCATAGGAGTCGCAAAGTCATCACATTTGAACTGAAAACCTCAGCTGTCTCCTCAGCAAGGGTCTTCTCCCCTACAGGAGAAGGGGAAAGACTTCCTGTGTCCTTAGGGCCATGCTGTAACTCTGTGCTTAAAGACTGCCTCGCAGAACAAAGGGGGGTAGTTTTCCTGTTTAGAGACTAGCATCTTGTGAGATGCAAGTACATATTTTCTCGTTTCTCTTAGACAGAGGCTCCTTATGGTAGTGTGGACCCATTTATACTCTAGAGAAGAGCATCCGCAAGGGTAAAGTCCACCTGTGCCACTTCAGTAGAGTAAAACCGAGGCTGCAGGAGTAGGTTGAAAATGGCAACGACTTCTGTAGGGTAAATCAAATCTCACTGCACTTGAATTGAAATAGCTCCCTTGCCATTTGTAACAATAATTAGAATTAGAATTAGAAAATAAACATATTACCTTTTATGTACTCTTGAGTACTGACAGAAGGTAAGTCTTCATTTTTTCCTATGTAATCGCACAAGCCAGGATGCATTTTTCCAATAAAAATTAGCATTAGCACTTATCACCAACAGAGAATGAGAAATGCAAAGGAAATCGAAAACTGTCCAACAAGTTTTACCAGATGTCAGGTAAGAATAATTTAACTTACAAAGTGATACACTCATGTTATTTTCCTTTTTCATTGTTTAAAATCAAATTCCCGAAGCTAAAGTCTCTATTATACTGCCTTCCTTATGCTAAAGCTGAAAGAATAAAATAGAATGTTTGAGAATATCGCAAAACATCTGGTCCAAAGTGGTCTGGGGAGCAGGACTGTTAGACACATGGGCTCTGCTCTCTAGACTTTGACAGAGGCCGGTAGATTTGCTGTTAGTGGCACGGGCCTGCGTTTGCAGCCGTCTGTCACTGCACTAGAGAGTGACTGTCCACCCTAAACACCTCAGAAGCATGTACATAGACACGTGTGCTCTGAAGGCCACGCATCCCTGAGTTCAAAGTGTTATTTGATAATGAAAGCAATGTTGCTTGCTTTCGTCACATGAAATTTTGTGGGGTACTGAGGAAGGGTGATTCACAGCAACTTGAGATGAAGAAAGAAGTGCACACTGCATGATCAGACCCGTGGCCCTCATTTACTTCCAGGACTTTCCTCACCAATTAAGCTTCTTATTTTCTCTAAACTCATCCTTCATGGAACTGTGCTGTTAAACTGTAAATATCTGTGCTGTGGAGCCTGTGCTTGTAATATGCATGTTGGGAAATCAGCTAATTTAGTTGAGACACACCAAAACTTGTTACTGATCCAATAAAAGTATCAGAGGCCAACAGAAGCTATTTGGTTTCATTCTTAAAAACTTAGGAGAAAAGCTAACGGAAGCTCACCCTCTTTCCTTTTCCGTTATAGGAGTCAGTCTGTTGATCACTGTTACTAAGGTTCCACGTCAAAGCCAGACCCCGTGCATGCATATTTCACTAAAGAAGAGGAAGTCTGAATTTTTTATCCTCCCAAGGAAGTGAGACCAAAGAAACAACATAGTACTCCCCCATATCATGAAATGGGCTTGCTCTCCTTACTAAATAAAAGTAGTAAATGCAAGCCAGTTTGAGGGTCAGTGGCTGCGGTGGGCGGTGCTATCTGTAATAAAATGAGGAAAAGACCACAAATGGAGAATTTCTTGACGTGATAGAATCACTTTATAGGACAGATTGTGAGCTTGATCTTCCCAGGATGGCCCTAATTTATACATGTCCGGGGCAGTTTAAAATGGGTGAAACATGGAATAAGCAATCTTTGGGGGAAGTAGACACTAACGTCCTATTGAGATTGTGTACCCTGGAAAGTCATTCGGATTATAATTTCCTTTCCCATCAGTTAGCACAGCTTTTTCCTTAATGGTATCCACACTGGACAGCGCTGTTAGGAAACACTGCATTTGAAAGACAGAAGTGCTCCACTGTCTACGGAGAGTGTAGCAAGTCTTGACATGAATACAGTCCTGAAGCGAATGGATGTAGAGGAAACTGAATCTTTATAGAGAGAACTGTTGTCTCTGATTCTCACCCAGCATCATACTACTGAGCCAGAGAGACCTGGTTCGCGAGGTGAGAATGTGAGTGTTCTGATACTGAACACCCGGCAGAGCGTGGGGATGAAAGTAAGATAGACCGGAGGCTGCTTCCTCTGGGAAAGAGCAGTTGGCCTGCAAACTTACTCAGACTGTGAGCTTCACCTCTTTAAATTTATTTTCAGAATAAGTTTCCTGTGAGCCCTGTCATGTTTGAAGTTGCTGTTCACATATAAATAAATAACTTAAGGGAATTAATAGTTGTAGGGTAGAATTTGGAGAGAATACCTTGACCCTACCCAGTTTTCGCATGACTAAGAATTAAAAGGAAAGTGTGTAAAGTTTCTTTTAAAACTATTCATGCATAGTGGCATTTCAAGGTAGTTCTGATCTGATGATGATAATGGCAGCTTTCCAGAAGGGATCACTCTATATCCCTGATGGCCCGGACTTCCCTTCTGGTCCTCTGAAGCAGGAATTCAGAAGGAAAGACTGACAGGTAAAGCCAATGCCACCAGGATTAACCCTTTGCTCTGCTGCCGATACTTAGTTAGATTCTGTGGCCTTCAGCCTTGCTAGCCCTGAACCTCTAGCCCAAGGACCTCCTCAGCTCGCCAGCAATAGCAAAATGATACTGTTGCAGGGTAAGACCTACTGACTGCTCAGCGTGCCAGGCGCTGCTCTAAGCACACAGTGGCAGCAAACCCTTTGAAGTCCAAAGTTGTTTGAAGTGTGCAGCAGCTGCCTGGAACAGATAGCTTCACCAACCCTAATTAAAGTCACACAACTAGTGACAAAAGCAGGTTCAAGTAGATGCTCTGGCACCACAGTCCACACCCTTTGTCACCACGCCATCTTCCATTGAAAGGCCCTACGGACTTGTGAGTGTCGGCCGCATGGATAAGACCACCTTGTGTTTGCAGTGTCTTAAACTCTCAGCTCACGGATTTCGCTTCCTTTTAGAGAGTTCTTGTATTTCCGTGTACTTTGTAAAAATCATATAGCTGGTAGAAGACAACTAACTACCCATGGACCACGTGGCGTCACCTCCATTTCGTGTGCTTCGGAGCCTAGGGGCTTTCAAGAACCACACTGGGAGCATCTCCTGAGGACTCAGTGTCTGATAATATTCCTGTCATGTCTATGTCCTCCCGTGTAAAACTCCATCTCAGAGAAGCAAGATTATTGGGATCAGGCAGATACTAGCTCATAGAGAATCTCATACATTACCAAAAATGAGCCTATGGTCAGTTTTAAAGATGCTGAGTCTCTTCCATTTAAAAAGTTAAACTAGCCCAAGACAGCTAAGGAAGTAGTCTTCTGTTGCCTTGCAAAAGGGTTAGAAAAGGGAACCCTTCACAAAACAAAATTCTTTTGTTTTTCTCAGAAGAGGGGCAGGGTCTCACCGGCTTTAAACTCACTCTATATCTGAGAAAGACCTTTACCTCCTGATGATCCTGCTTCCACCTTCAAGGGCTGGGGTTACAGACGTGAGACAGCAAGGCCTGGTTCTGGGCGGTGCCTGGGATCAAACCCAAGGCTTTGCTGGGTCAGCACTATTAGCACTGAGTCACATGCCAGCCCTAAAAAATTCTTTTCATTCATTAGCCAATGGAAGTTGTAACAAAAAGAGGAATGTCAAGTGGTCGCTTCCAAATAGGACCTTGTGAGAGACGACATACTCATTCTATTCCCTTGTTGGTTTTTGGCTTCATTCTCAAACACATTTTCCAGCCTTTTTAGTTTCAGCAAAAGCAGAGCAGCTCTCAAGCTCCATTAAGGAAGAGAGAAACAAAACCTCCAAGTAGCAGACAGCTGGGGCAGGTGGGGATATTCTTCTTTTGTCTGTAATTTCTGACCAAACCAGAAGCAAGGTCTCCGGTCCCCTTCCAGTGGTTTAAAAAGGAAGCAGTAGAAATGTGATTCTGGCAACAGAAAGTCCCCCAGTTTAACTCCTGGAACCCAGTGCAGGGATGGCTTAGGGATACGGAGGCAGCATGGAGCAGCCCACAGCCCAGCGGGAAGGATATGGGAATGCTGTCCTCACGGAGCTGCCTGACCCTCAGAGTCACTTTCCAGCTCCAAAGGGAACAGTGAGAAGAGTTATTTTCTTCATCTGTCACTCAGCGAGGACGTTCGCTTTCTTTGCAGGAAGAGAAATGTCATCTCTACTATTGGACAGGGACAAATTTTCCAAAAATAAGTATAATCTGGTACAGATGTCATCAATGACCTGGCATCCTGGTTTGAGCGGGCTTCCAAAGCAGCTTGGGCTCAGGGATCGTGTTCATTCCCTCTAGCCAGGCCCCTGGGGGAGATGGTTCTGACCTTCAAGGGAGTGGTGAGAAAGTCTTGCTGTATGCTGGCTGCAGGTGGAGTGCCTCCTGGTCAGTGGTTTCACTGCAGGGAATCCCGCTCTCCCCTGAAGGGACAGAAGCAGTCACAGTGAAGACTGAGGACCTTAAGCTGCTAGGACAACACACTTAGTTCTTGGATGACGTGAGCAAGCCATTGCAAATGCCTTGGCACAGACTGTAGGCACTAAGAATTGGAAGGTAGATGTGAGCTGCCCACTTTCTACTTGGCGTGCAGAATACAAGTAATTTAGGCTTTCTGGAGGTGGGTAAGAAGTATGAGCGCTCTAGCTGTGAATGTTCATTCTTCATGTTGAGATCTCATTTGTGAGTGTGTGAACTCAGGAGGAAGTTCTCTGGTCTTGGAAGAGTAAATCAGGTTCTCCATCATAAGAAACAATGGCTCCTGAATCCAGACCCTTGATTTACTAGCCCACATTTTGTCAGAATTAGCAGTGAGACAAATCACAGAATCTCTCTGAGCCCCAGGTTACTCCATAGTTAAAAGATTTTAATAGGTTGTTGCTGTGATGGGATTAGAACTAGACGCTAATGTTCCCTAGCCTGGCAAATTCCATGAGATACAAGAGTGTCACAATATACATTCCTTGATGTTTTGAGGGGGGGGATCAGTAATGTAAGTGACAGTTCTTAATGTAGACTTGCATGGACAGTCTTCCACTATCATCAGTTTTAACGCTACATGTTTGTGCCATCCTGAATAATAGTCACTAGCCACATACGGTCATGTCAGTATAAACTACCTACCAAAGTCTTCCTCTGAGCAGTGCAAAAGGAGGCCATCCTCAGTGAAGGTTCTCTTGCCCAGCACCATCCTGGACCTTTGTCTAGACAACTCACTGCGGCCTCTTGTCCCTGACAGCAGGATATAGATGCCTAGGCCCTAGGGTGACAGGTCCATCTTTGGAGGATTAAAGGGTGAGACTACATGCCGTTCGAGCAGAGCGCTACAGAGAATCTTCCAGGCAAAGGATGTTGGCCCTGAAAGAGAGATTGAGAGAGGTGTGTGTGTGGGGGGGGGGGTGGTTACACCGAGGAATCAGAAAGCCCCTGGGTTATCCTGACCTCTGTGAGACACAGACCCCAGAGGTGAGTTCCGCAGAGATATTGTCCCCTTACGGACAGCCCATCCCAGCCATGGGAGAGTGTGAGAGGAGCCGCCCTGATACCAGGAAATGAGGGGCCTGCTCAGCAGTTGGTGGTGGGAGAAAGCTTAGTAAGGTCTGGCCATGTTAAGAGAACATTAGCATCTGAACAGAATGGAGAAGAATTCATGGAACTGGAGGGAGAGGGACAGTCACTCTAGTGGCTTCTGAAGTGGAGCAGGAGAGTCAAAGTGAGCTTGCTTGGAGGGCTAGGCTGAACTATTAGGTAGAAAGTAACATTTGCATAGGAGAAGGCTTGTTTCTGTTGTCCCTGCCCCCGGCCCAGAGTATGAAGAAGAGAGAAAATCAGAGGTGGATGGCAAGCGTGTAACTGTACCTGCCGTCTGGAAGCCACCTGCGAAGGAGTCACCTTTCTCTTCTGGACTCTCCTCCAGGTGCTGCGGCAGCCGACGACACCGAAGACGCAAGCACGGAGTTCACAGACAGCATCGAGGAGGAGGCGGCACACAACAGCCACCAGCAAGTAAGTCAGTGTCAGGCGTGAGGCCTTCTGGCTCTTTCTCACCATCAGCCTTCATGCGCTGGGAGTGGGAAGACATCTTCCTTGTAACCCACCCCCAGCCTGCTCCCGGGTTTTCCTTGGTCTTTTTCTGTTCAGCCTACCTTTTGTTTGTTTGTTTGTTTTGTTTTTACTACGTCTACTTCTTTCTGCTTCTTATCCCTTCCTACCCACCTGTGTCCCTGTTTCCTGTCTGTAGCTTTAGCTTCAGAAGAATTGTGACTCACAAGACCATGGATGCTTCCCCTCTTTGGCTTTTCTGACTGAAACACAAAACAGAAGACAGACATGGAAGGGCTGTTTGGGGGACAGCAAGGCCTAGGGCCTGCTTGACAAGAGTCCTTGTCTGAGAAACTCCCAGGGGATTGGAAGGCCTCCAAAGCAGGGATCTTGGTGAACTTGAAAAGAGCTTTGCTCTGGGGTCTGACATGCTACCCAATAGTAAGTCCTGCCAAGCTTCAGAATTTGTCACTGAGCCACCATCAGAATTGTAATGTCTCAAGCCCAGGAGTGGATGTCCCGGACCCAGGTTAAGTCACCCTTAGTAATCTTAGCACCCTCTGGAACTCAGAGAGTTCCACCTTGTCTCCACCTTGCCCTGGGACATTCAACAGTCACACCTAACTGCCCGCGACTCTTAAGTTGTTACAGAGAATGTGGATCATTGACAGAAAAGGTTGGGCCTTTCTAGTGGTGTCTTCCTTGGGGCTACTAGGAATGCTGTAGGAAAAATGGGGGTTCCTGGGTCTGCCTGTACATTCCCTGCATGAGAAAAAGAGGAGACGTCCATGAAACGGATAAGAAGAGACCAAGTGAACAGACCCCAAACCGAATAGGATCTGGCCTTATTTTGGGCTCTTGAGCACCTGAGTTTCTTTGCTTTCTGTCAAGGTCCCCTTTTCGTTGCAGTAGTCACGACTGCCCTTCACTCCTCCCTTGAGGGCTTTGTGTTAGCTCCACTTCTCCGTTTCTCCCGACTCCTCACTGACTAACGGGCTGTGGTTTTAATCACATTTACCACTGCTCCGAAGCTCAGAGGCCTCTGCCCCTCCCTGACTCCGTCAAGGATCTTGGGTGCGAGAATTTGCAGGATGAACAGAAGTCTGCTGTGAACAGATTGGGATGTTGGCTGGACACAGTGGCTCTAGCAGCTGTGGGGCAGGAATAACTTCAGACTTAGTAAACAGAAGACCCCGATACCATGGCCATCGGACTCTGCTTACCACGCTCTAACTATCCTGATGCTGCAAGTCTCGCAGGCAAACTGGTTTGTAAAGCCATTTTTCCCAGCCTTCTTTCCTGTAAGTTCACGCTGAAAAGATGACTGGACTTTACTTTGAGAAGGTCAGTCTCCCGGAGTAGACGTTCACCCCGACACGTCATGGCACTTATCTTGGTACTTGGCATAGGAAGTACTCTGTGTAATTGTAAGTTAGCAAAGCTTCGGACCAGGGTTTTACTCTTCATAGACAGAGTGTACACCCCCTGGATGGTAAGCACTGTTTTCCTCCGATCGCTTTTCCTGGAGAACTGGTTTTTAGCTTTTGAGTAGGAAGAACCCTGGTGGATGGCATCACTGTATGCAAAGCTGCTGTGAGTTTGCTTCATCTTCTGTGGAGTTTGAGTTGTGACTCTCCTGTTACCAATTAAATAAAGCTTGCTTTGCCATAACTGCCCTGTGTCCAGATTCTAAAGACTTGTTGACTTGTTTCCCTTTAGGATTAGTCTGTGAGCAATTCCTTACTCTACCCTTGAGAGATAAACTTTATTGATGACCCCACACTTCCTTTTTTATTTACTTATTTATTTTGAAACAGGGTTTCTCTGTGTAGCCCTGGCTGTCCAAGAACTCACTCTGTGGCCTCACACACACAGAGATTCGCCTATCTTTGTCTCCCAAGTGCTGGGATTGAAGGCAGGCGCCACCGTCATTTGCCACTCCTTTCTTAATGCACCCATATACACACTTTCCCTAACACACCCACATACACACCTTCCCTAATGCACCCGTATATACACTTTCCCTAACACACTCACATACACACTTTCCCTAACACACTCACATACACACTTTCCCTAACGCACCCATATACACACTTTCCCTAACACACTCACATACACACTTTCCCTAATGCACCCATATACACACTTTCCCTAACGCACCCACATACACACTTTCCCTAACACACTCACATACACACTTTCCCTAACGCACTCGTATACACACTTTCCCTAACACACCCACATACACACTTTCCCTAATGCACCCGTATACACACTTTGCCCATCTTTGTGTTCCTGGGCAAGAATCAAAGAAAGCAAATTTATTTTATCGTATGTAGGAAGTCACTTGCCTTAGAGAGCTTCAGGTCTGACCATGATAGTAATCTTCCCTAAATATTACCCACCAAATTCCAATGTCAAAAAGTTGTAAGGTCTTCAATAAATAGCGAAGCTAACTCTGAAAAAAAAAAGTTGTAAGGTCTATAAGAAATGCCTGGGAGATGTTCAAAGGACGTTAGAGAGCAGTCAACCATCCCCATTCATCTGAACATTTTCAGTTCAGAGAAGTTCATCAGGAATCAAGTTTCAAATGCGAAAGATCGGTACACTAAATCTGACAGAAAAGGAGAAAAACTATTTTAAAATAATAATATTTTACTATCAAATCATAATTAAAAGTATGGAGTACAATGCGATAATTTGATCTACACATATATTGTGAAATAATTAAGCCAAGTTAATTAGTACATCTGTACCTTGCCTACTGTTTTACGGGGGATATTTGAGATGTACTTAGTCACTTTAAAGTATGCTTAGTACTAACGATCGTCACCAGGTAAGCAACTGACCTCAGAGCCTATTGCTTCTGTCAGTGTGAAGCTTTGTGACGTCTCATGATCCTGCTGTATCCCCCCACCCACACCCGACTCTGGTGGCCCCAACTGTTCTCTGTGCTTCAGTAGCTCAGCTCTGTCAGAGTCCTCAGGATGACGGTGCTGGTGTTTGTCCTTCTGTGAGCAGCTTGTCTCATGTAGCCAGACCTGAGCAAATAACAGGGGAGCCCCTTCCTGAGACTCAACAGTTTCTCACTCTGTGTAGCTTACTCGTGCATTCACAGACACCCAGGTCGGCTCCATATTGTGACATTTGTGAACAGTAATTGGAGAGAGAATGCTGACGTCAGCTCACATAGTGATTTGAGTTCCTTTGGAAGCATATACCCAGAAGTGGTCATGTAGTAGTTCTGTCTAGGTTTTTTTTTTCTTTTCTTTTTTTTTTTTTTTTTTTTGGTATTTGGCATACCATTTCCACAAAGGCATACTTATTCAGCATCCTTTTCTCTTTACTTTCTGGTTTGTTTTTTGCTGTTGTTGTTTTTGTTTTTGGTTCTGAGGAGAGAGCTCAGTACCTCATGCATGTTGTCAGTCATATATATGTATATATATATATATATATATGTATACACACACACACACACACACAACACTTTCTAATACATGTGAGGTGATAGCTCCTTGTGGTTGTGGGTTTTTTTCCCTAATGATGACCGACACTTGATTATTTGAGAAATGATTTCTTAATATCTTTAATATTGCCTGAAAATTGACCTTCACCATTGGAAATGTGAAACAAGAGGCTGAAAACCAAGCAGCTCCACTCAAGCAGAAGTGCAGCTCTGAAGTAGGTCCATGAAGCACTGGGAAAGGCTAAAGTGTGTAGAAACAATCACACAAGTGAGTTAGGCGCCATGGAAACACCAGTAAGAGAAGTGTGACTTAACATGGGCCCCAACGGAGACACACTAGCAGTGCGCACTGGGTGTGGGTTTACTGAGGAAAAGGGCTTTTCATAAAACGTTAATGAGTCTGGATCCTTTTCATACGTTTATATTTAAATTATAGACTTAGGGGAAAAAAACTTCCTTTCAGAGCTGTGAAAATTCAAATTAGTTAGACAATGACCAGAGCTTTACCAGATACATTCAACCTGTAGCTTCGTGTGCCCCAGATTGTCCATGAGTGCAGCCCTGCAAATCTGGAGATTATATTACCACATCCTAAGATCGGACACCTCTATATCTAGGCAATGATTTATTTTCTTATTTTAAAATGAGAAATTTGATCAGATGACTCTTTTTTAAATTTAGTTTATTTTCTTATTTGCATTGGTGTTTTGCCTGCATGTATGTCTGTGTGAACGTGTCCGATCTCAAGCATGCAGACAGTTGTGAGCTGCCATGTGGATGCTGGGATTTGAACCTGGGTCCTCTGGAAGAGCAGTCAGTGCTCTTAACCACTAAGCCATCTCTCCAGTCACCAAATGAATCTTAAGGTCTTTCTGGCATCAGCATTTCATGAGTCAAATGTTTCCCTTTAAAAGAAAATAAGTATACTGAAACCAATTGAATAAAATACACACACAGGAAGATACTCTTCCAATGGACAGTCTCATGAAAGCTGGGTTATTTTTTAGCAGAAACAACACTCAAGGTTAAGAGAGAGACTCTTGTGTTCATATTCAATTCTAATGGTGATTTTAGTTCTGTTCATTGCAAATAGTTTACATCGACAGGTAACATCACAAAGTTTACTTGTGTATTTTTGCCTACCTCTTCATTATTTGGGGGGCATTTGAAATGACTTTACTATGTAGCCCAGGCTAGCCTTGCTTCCATTTCTCCTGCCTCAGTGTCCCAGGTGTTGGAATTACAAGCCTGGGCCACCATTCCTGGCACATTAAACAGTTAAGTGAAGGTTATGGTAATAGTCATTCAAAGGGGCCCTATCCAATACCCAATCCTTCTGTTACAATTGCTGGGTGGGACACACGGAGACAACACCGGCTGGCTACACCAGGCAGCAGTCTTATAGACAGACATTGTCTATAGTCTGGTCACTGCTGCACTCACGAAACCGAGAGAGAACTGAATGTCTAGCGACTGAGTAGCAGTGTCTACAACTGTCTTCTATATGGCTGTGCATCACTTGACAATTTCAGTTGCCGGGGCACTAAATACCGTTTCATGTGTGCTATGAATGCATTCTACTACAATCGTACAGCACAGCTATGATCTTGTTTTGTCATGAGGAATAGCAAAACTCAACAGCTTTGTGAACACCCACGCTGTCCTATCAATCGTTGACCTGTACATCTTGCTCTGGGTCCTATTCTGTTCAGTATGTTAGTGACCTAAATGAATGTCTAAAGCATAATTCTATGAATCATCTCTAGTCAGGTGACCACTGCATGGTTTATAGAGATGTACATTAACTATTTTAATGGCTTTGTAGTTGGGACATGATTCTCTATAACCGGAATAAATTTATATGTGACTAACATGACTCACGATATTAATAGAGGTAGAAGGAAACAGAACAGAAATTCCTGCAGGAAGGGGTGAAGAGGGAGGGTCGAAACTGGCCGGAAATTGAGTCTGACCCCCACACAGCACCGCTGAGAGGAAAAAGGAGCCAGTGTGACTGGGAAGCATGGAGAGTCCTGTTGAGAAGTGTGCTGTAGCACCTGTTCATAAGCCCAGCTCTCAGGAGGATAAGCCAGATGAACCAAGAGTTCAAGGACAGCCTGGAACACTAGCAAGACTGAGGCCAATATGAGCTGTAAGGCAAGACCCTGCCAAAAACCAAGGAGGGAGGAAGGTGGAAGAAATTCTTGTATTAAAATACAAGACTCACACTGTGTAAGTTATCACACCCAAATTCCGAGTTGTAGTAATGTCCTTTTAAAGGTGTAGAAATAGCTAGAGATAAGCCTTGCATATATGATAAGAAAGTCTAAATACTCCTAACATCCCACTTGGAAAAACACCTTAAAATCTGTTATCAATGAGGCATTTAGGAACGACGTCAAGAGAATCCCAAGAAGAAAGATACTGTGAAATCTCCTTTGTTTTTCTCTCATGTGCTTAGATTTATAGAGACTTTAGTTGACAGCATTGACGTAAGAAAGGTAATCAAAATGAAAACGCAGTGTCTGGTAAGGTGGATTAACCTCAAATCCTGAGCTTGTAGGGTAGTTCTCCTCTTGTCAGTGGAACTGCCTTGCTCTGCCGTACCTGTAGCTCCATGATTTTAGTTCTGGCAATGGTTATAGGCATTCTGAATTTTCATCTCCTCTGGGTTCTAAGTTGCAGGCTGTTGTACGAATTCTAATGGGTCTTAATAGCAACCCAGTGTCAGATATTAGGGGGCGAGGGCTGAAAGATTGGAGAAGCAGAGCAGTCGGCCACTGGATCTTCCTTCTACTAAATCCTTGGAACCAAGGGGGGCATGATCTATGAATCTTCAGACTGAAGGCTCTGAGCTCCTGTCTCCTCCCGCCTTATTCCTCTCTCTCCCAGACGTATCCCTTTCTGTGTCCACCTCCCTAGGGTGGGATTAACAGCATCCCAATACTGGGATTGAAGGTGTGAGCACCACAGCCTGGCTTGGTTTCTCTTTTATATCAAATCAGTCTCATGTAGCTCAGGGTGGCTTTGAACTCAGAGATCCACCTGTCTCTGTCTCCTGAGTGCTGGGATTAAAGGTGTGAGCCACCACTGTTTGAGCTCTATGGCTACCTAGTGGCTAGCTCGACAAGCTGATCTCCAGGTAAGCTTTACTTGTAGAATCACAAACAAAATGTCACCCCAACAGGCATGGGTTTAGCCATTGAGCCCTGGCATCCTGAGCCACGATCTTCACAGTCGAGGCTCCAGCGCTCTAGGGTCAGTGAAGCATCCTGACCTGGAAGCAGACTTTTAGGGGACTCCATGGCCCGATGAAGAGAAGCACCACAATGTTGGCGTCCACTAGATCAGATTAAATTTCATTTGTCTGTATTCAGTGTTTCTCGTCCTCTCTGAATTCTTTTGTTCCATGTGTGCACGTATGTGTGTCTCACCCTCTCTGGATTCTCCTGTTCCATGTGTGCACGTGTGTGTGTCTTGCCCTCTCTGGATTCTCTTGTTCCTCTGATGGCAAGCCCTCCCCACCCGTTGCATGTGTCCTCACTTCCCAAACCCATCCCAGGGCCCTTAGGACTGACTTGAAGAGGGGATCATTCAGTTTTGCCTTCTGTTTCCATCAGGAGCTGCCCTTGCCTGTGTTCCTGGGTCCCCTTCAGTGGCCTGACTTCATTACACCGCGTTTCTCTTTCAGCTCATCAAGGCATCTTTGGAGAAAAACCTGACCATGGACACCCAGGATGTATGTCTTCAGCCCCCATCCCCAGCAGCCCCGTCCCCAGCAGGAGGGGATGGCAACAGGTGTCTTCAGGAAGAAACACTCCACCTGAGGGCTGAAGTCCGCCAGCACTTGGAGGAGAAGAGAAAGGCCGAGGCGGAACTGAAGGAGCTGAAGGCTCAGATGGAAGAAGCCGGGTTCTCCTCCGTGTCTCACATCAGGTGTGTCCCAACTTGCTCGCAGATGATGAGCCACCTCAGCCAAGGACCCACCTTGCTCCATCCAAGGCATCAGGGCTGCCCCAGGGTGATCCACAGCATAAACTCCATGCCTTAATGCTTTCATATCGTCTTTAGAGAAGAGTTAATGGTGTTAAACAGTGGTGGCCACTGCTATTAAGTCGGTATCGGCTCAGTATTACTGCCCAGGTGCATATGTGTGAACGGAATCTCACTCAGTCGTGTGGGTACAGCCTCCGGGGTCAAGTCCCATAGTCACCGACCCAGGAAGCTTCACTGCTGCACAGAGACCTGGGAGGGCCTTGTTGGGGGGGGTGATTTACACAGCCTCGTCTAGCTCCATTCAACCCCGCTCCGAAGCATAAACAGTTGAATCATGGAATTGCAGCTTTAATAATCTTTGCCGTCTCATGAAAATCATAAAAATGACAAGTACTGGTCCATTGACTACTTCAACTCTAAGGGGATTTTTGAAAGGAAAAGAAAAATGAAAAACACTTGATACTGTAGAGTTTAAGTGAGATGCCCTGCCTCAAATGACAAGATGGACATCCATAGAGGAAGACACCAGGAGTCAGCTTCCAGCCTCCACATGCATACACACACACACACACACACACACACCCGTGCAAGCACACACAATTATTATTAAATCTTGTTATCATTCTAGGTATCAGTTCTTTATGTTGAATTGTCAAGGAGATTCTTTCCTTACATTTTGCCTCAGTTAAAATATAAGTTTATTTAGGCATTTATGTGTGTGAATTTAGTTGTGATGTCATGGAATAGAGCATCTCTTCCTATATACCCCACGTATAGATAACCTTGTAGGTTATTTTCATTTTTCCATATAGCTATTAACTTGAAAATCTGAGTTGTTTAACTCTCTACTCAATCTTAAACACTGGTGTGAAAATAGAATATCCCTAACACTCAGCCCCATGTTAAGCTTGACTCTCGTTACTTTATAGTGTAAAATCTCAGGCTTGACCTTAAACAGAAAGATAGAAAACTAAGTATTCTTCTCTATACACCTTCCTTTTGCTCCTTCCTACATGCTAATTTTGGGAACAGACCTATACCCTTTTCTCCTTTGGAAATCTCTGATCTCGATGTCCCAAAGGATTTTCTCCCCTGAACGCACACCTAACAACTTCTGCTTGGAACTCCAAAACTTTATGATTCTGAGAAACCTAGTCTAGTTGCACAGTCAAGTACTGATTCTGTAGGATGTGAATTTGTGTGTGTGTGTGTGTGTGTGTGTCTTCTAACTCAATGTTCTCAGTTTAGCCCATTTTATTACTTCAACAAATGGGGATGTTTTATGTGACCATCCTGTGTGGCGGTCCCAGAAATACAGGATGACTAGGGTAAACACAGCAGCCCTGGAAAGTTATGTCCTATTGTATGGACCAGAAATATGGCAAATAATTAAATAACTACATTCTTATTACAGTTCTGATTAGTATTATTTATTTTTGGCACTCCTGAGCCCCAGTTTATCACTTAGTGATTTAAAGCCAGTAATAAGTAATATAATGATGAAGCCCACAATAGCAGGTTTGTCATATGCGGGATCTATTTATGTTAGAGTCAAAACTTAATATTGTAAGTGTTTTGTGTATCCCAGAGGTAACGAATACTAAGGCATTTGAAACTATGTGGCTAAGTAAAGAAAATAGACTGGGGAGTCTACTTTATGATCCTTACTAATGCTGCCATCAGATGGCAATGGAATCATGCGTTATGAGGCCATTCTGCCACACTTCCCTGCTGAGTCTTCTCATGCTATGCATGAGGCTTGTTACAGGTCTCTGAGATTCCCGTGTGCTCTTGAACGGCTCCGAGTCTCTCGCGGACTACGATGTGGGTGAAAAGGTCTTTGAAGAACAGTAAACCTGGCCAAACCTAGCCGCTCACTGTACGTTCTTCACAGGAACACCGTGCTGAGCCTCTGCCTCGAGAATGCAGAGCTGAAGGAGCAGATGGGAGAAGCCATGTCTGATGGATGGGAGGTCGAGGAAGACAAGGAGAAGGGCGAGGTGATGGCAGAGACGGCGGCCGCCAAAGGGGGTCTGGGTGAGGGCAGCCTTCAGGCCGAGTTCAGGAAAGTCCAGGGGAAACTGAAAAGCGCCTACAACATCATCAACCTCCTCAAAGAACAGCTGGTCCTGAGCGGCTCGGAAGGGCACGGCAACGCGACGCCAGAGCTCCTTGTGCGCCTGGCCAAGGAGGTCGACAGAATGAACATGAGCCTGCCTTCCCCTGGGAAGCATCAACACCAAGAGCCGGCGAATGTGACCACCAGGCCTGGCCCCAGACCCCAGAGCCTCAATCTTGAGGCAGCCATCTCTGTGGATGCCCTCCAAGTAAGTGAGGGCAGGGGCGAGGTGAGCAACTCAAAGAAGGGTTGCCAGAGGCTTCAGTTTTTACGTTACGTTGTCCTGCTTTGTGGGACAAGAAGTACTGAGGGCAGATGCCTTGATGCTCCAAGCAGGATGCTGTAATCAGAGGCATCCATTCAGCACTTGAAAGGGTTCCACACCATTGAACGGGTGTTTCTGAGCATTTAATTCCAAGCTACACACTGTGCTGGCAGTGGGCTGTGAACTGATGTCTTTCCTCTGGGTACTTGGCATGTGGGGGAGAGTGTTCAGACACAGTGACGTTTCATTTGATGGAACTGCCATTCTATTGGGATGCTCTGGTCTTAATGGAGCCCAGAAAAACAGTGTGCAATGCCATTTTCTTAGAACTGCTGCTCCCTCAGAGGCTCCAAAGTGTCTGTCATGGCCTCCTGAGAGGTCACTGACACCCTGCTGAGGGAAGGAGCTTTACCTTAGATTCAGTGAAATGGAGGATCCAGAGGCTTCTGAGAAGGGCCTCTGGGACAGGAATGCACAGAGGGTGGAGAGAAGATTTTCACCTCTTCCTTTTAAGCGATTGAGTAAATGTTTACTACAGGCCACTCTAGAGACTTGTCTGGCAGTGTGCTACAGTGCCACAGAGAGAAAGATAAATATAGCATTCTCCCGGCTCTCCAGAAGCTGCTGGAAAGCAGAGCACTGCCAAATGGCCTGAGAACTGTTGTGGCAAACACGTAATTCACGCAGCCCAAGCGTTCCAACAGAGTGGTGGCTGTCACCACCTGGAGGGTAAGCTCAGAGTGTCCTGATCCTTGTGCTGGTCCCTTTCACAGCTGGAGAACAAGCCCCGGGCCCAAGACTCTGGCCACCAGGCAGAATTTAGCCTCCCGGGGTCCACCAAGCACCTGCGTTCGCAGTTGGCCCAGTGCAGACAAAGATATCAAGACCTGCAGGAGAAACTGCTCATCTCAGAGGCCACCGTATTTGCCCAGGCAAACCAGCTGGAGAAGTACAGGACCATCCTCAGTGAGTGTCTCCAGCTCGTGGTCGTCAAAGTGTCCTCTCCCCATGACGTCACCTGTTTCTCAGCTGTTATCTTTCTGCCCCACCCTGTAAACGCTTCAGCCGCGACTGTAGTCTCAGAACTGTGTACGCGCATTTTACTCTGATCTGTAGATGGATGTAAAACAAAGGAAGGAAAGGTTTCAGAGTTACAGTGGAGGGGCTGGAGGGGACTCTGTGCTTAAGAGCACTGCTGCTCTCGCAGAAGACCCCAGTTTGGTTCCAAGAACACACAAGGTGTCTCCCCAACCTCCGAGACACCCTCTACAGCTCAGTGCATCCAGCACTCTCTTCTGGTCTCCGAGGGTACCAGGCATGCACACGGTGCACATAGGTACACACAAGCAAAGCATTCATTACGTGTAAAATGAAAATGAACACATCTTTAAAGCTAGGGTGAAAATAAAGGACAGAAGCAGACTGACATCTGGGTCGCTGATTTCCAGGACCATCAGTAAGCTGGCTTGGCTCTCTACATGATGGGTTTTCTTTATTCTCCATTCTTCAAAAATCCCATCATTGCTGTTGCTCTAGAATCAGCACTACCTAAGGGAGATTGCTACATTGGTAGGGATGCTCTTCATTCATATAGATATTGGGCACATGAACTTAGAAAGTTGAATTTTGGTTCATTTGATAAAGAGGAACCACAGGTAAGTAAAGAGCTACCTTACTGGACAGGGCAGGGCAGGGCTAGAAGTCTCGAGGCTCTTAATCACTTCAGCTCCATTGACGCTAAGATTTTGTAGATATAGGGCCTAATGATTTCGCTGGAGCTTCTGACATGGTACATGCAATTCCTGACTTGCCATGTCTAGTCTCAACCAGGCCTCAGTTTTCTGAAGAGAGCCTCTCCATAGCAACCATGGGCTTACCCTGGTAGTGAGGGGGCCTGCTACCTATGGCAAGCTTTGTCTTCTCCCATCGGGGTCCAAGAAAGCCTTTTCCCCCAGCCTGGCTCTGACTTCTTGGCCTTAAAAGCCAAGGTATGTGCCACTAAGATTGAGGGAGCATGTGGGACATCCAGATATTCTGGGACACCCACTGAGTCTTCCCAAACACAGGTGACTCCCTGGTGAAACAGGACAGCAAGCAAATCCAGGTGGACCTTCAAGACCTGGGCTATGAGACTTGTGGCCGGAGCGAGAACGAAGCTGAACGTGACGAGACCACCAGCCCCGGTAAGCTCACGGTGTGTGGGGACCCACCCTCTCTCTCTGGAGTCATGTGCTGCATTCGGATGCCTTAAGCCACTCCCACCCACAATGAGTAGTGGGGTAGGAGAACTGGGACTGAAGGAGACCCAGGACCAGAGATGGACAGGAACTATTATGGAAAAATACCTTGGCCTTTTATTTATTTTCCCCCGAGAGAAGGTTTCTCTGTAGCTTTGGAGCCTGTCCTGGAACTAGCTCTTGTAGACCAGGCTGGCCTTGAACTCACAGAGATCCACCTGCCTCTGCAAGTGCTGGGATTAAAGGTGTGTGGTGACTGCCCAGCTACCTAGGCCTCTTTATGAGGGAAGAGATCTGTGAGTGTTATGTATACCTAAACTGTAAGTTTAGAATAAAACTTTTTATTTCGTATTCACAAAGGACTGCTGGGTGCCACAGGATTCCTACAGATCTGAAGCTGAGGCAGTATAGTGGGGCTGTTAGGAATGGTGATCCGAATTCCAGACTGCTTGGTGTAAACCCTTTTTTTTCTCTGTGCCTCAGTTTCCTTATCTGCTAAACCAGAAATAAAACAACTCTCCAACTCACTGGCTACTCATAGCAATAAAATGAATAAATTCTAGTACAATTGAAAATAGTTCAGGCCAACATTTTACTGGTAAACTGGTGACTCTGGCTGCCATGCTGGCTGCCACCGCCCTGGTACAGCTGGGATAATACACTGGTTTGTTTGAGGGTCTTGTTCTCCTTGGCCCTGCTTTTCATGCGGTTACGACCCAATAGTTTTTAAGTTTTTTTTCTTTATCTTATTTTATATACCAACCACAGTTTCCCCTCCCTCCTCTCCTCCTGTTTCCTCTCCCACCTCCCTTTTTACCTCCCCCCCCCCACCATCCTGTTCTCCTCCATCTCCATTCAGATGGGGTAAAGTCTCCCTTGGGAATCAACAAAATGCAGCATATCAACTTGAGGCCAAGGTCCTCCTCCCTGCATCAAGGCTGGGCGAGACAGCCCACCATAGGGAGTAGGTGCCAAAGGCCCATCAGGGACAGGTCCTGGTCCCACTTAGTGGTTCCACAAAAGATCAAGCTACACAACTGTCACCCAGATGCAGAGGGCTCCAGGTTTTCTTCAGGAAGATGTCTCTGTCTCTTTCAGAGTGTGAGGAGCACAACAGTCTGAGGCCCATGGTGCTCATGGAGGGGCTGTGCTCTGATCAGGGGTACCTGGACTCTGTCCTGGTCGGCCCGCCTGCGAAGAAGCCTTTGGAGAACAAACCGGGGAGGCAGGAAGAGTTCCAGGCACATGGAAATTCAGACGACAGCTCTGTCCTGAGGAAAGACATCAGAGATCTGAAAGCCCAGCTCCAGAATGCCAACAAGGTCATCCAGAACCTCAGGAGCCGGGTCCGGTCCCTCTCTGCTACAAGTGACTACTCATCCAGTCTGGAGAGACCCCGGAAGCTGAGAACTGTCGCAACCCTCGAGGGGTCTTCACCTCACAGTGTCACCGATGAGGATGAAGGGTGGCTGTCTGATGGCACTGGGGCTTTTTACCCTCCAGGGCTCCAGGCCAAAAAGGATCTGGAGAGTCTCGTCCAGAGAGTATCCCAGCTGGAGGCCCAGCTCCCCAAAACTGGACTAGACGGGAAGCTGGCGGAGGAGCTGAGGTCTGCCTCGTGGCCTGGGTAAGTGGGGAGCTGTTTGGGGACCCCCACTCGATTGATGTCTAAGTCTGTGCTTGGAGCAGCAACCCTGGCCCTTGTAAGAAAGAATGCAGCCAGGGAATGAGAAGGACACTGAGCTAAATGGTGGTTGAGCTGAGGGAAGACACAGGGACAAGCAGCAACACATCGGTGGCGGCGGCAGATCTCTGGGACGTCCTGCCACAGATGTTAAAAACATGACAGTTAAAGTGGTCCAGGTAAAACTCATCCAGACACCTGACTAGAAACCCCAGCTCTGCAACCTGTGGGCTGGGCAAACTCTTCAGCCTCCCCCATCTATTTGCTTACCTGTGAAGGGAAGGTAAGAGAGACCCCATCTCAAGGACCGATACTGGACTTAACTGAACTATCACATGTGCTTCTCGTATCTGGCAGAGATTAAGCTCTCAGTGCTATTTTTTTAAAGATCACGATTGCCAATACTTTATGCTGAAAATAGTGCGTGAACATACATCCCAGCCCCTGTCCTGATTCTACTGCTACGCAGCAAGCCAGTCTAAGACACAGTGACTCAACTATCCCTCGTGGTCCTCTAAGTTGACCCAGTTTTGTTGGTTCTCCCATGTGGCCACTGCCAGGTGGAATCTGTAGCCAGGATGATCTGAAAGGACCTTTGGAGGTGGGCATGGATGTTTTTATCTATGCCTAGGCTCCTGGCTTCTCCTTGAGGACGTCTCCTTTAACTTTGGTTTCTCACGGAGTGATAGTCTTTGGCAGTATTGCTTCCATGGGGACCAGCAATAGAGCTCGCCAGGTAGCTAAAGAACCACTCCTCAACTGGGCGCTGTGATGCCCCCATTGTGTTATGGAGGTTAGCATGGTCACAGAGTCTTCTAGACTCAGTCATGCAGAGGATAAACCTTTCTCGCTGATGGAGGACTGGCGCGACTGTGCTGCAGGAGAGCACATAACATGGGAGACGCTAACTACTGTGTTTACAAAAGGCCATTGACCACAGATGAGCGCATAGAAGAAATTCGTGCATCGGACAGGATTTGATATACGAGATAGAGAAGAAAGTCCTCTATAGTGTAGGCTTAGGATTCAAAACTTCTAAATATTTATAAAGTATCTACTGTGTGTCCGCACTATATTGGAGCTGTGTGAGGTGTAAAATGTGGGGTTTTCTTTACTCTCACAGAATTGATGACTTAGTTTTGAATATGACTACCATTCTAGAAGAGTTGAGATCTGTGGTTTCCTAAATGTTTTGGTGCCATAGCTTCTCAGCATGGATCGTATGATTCCCGAGGCAGAGAGGTGCTTAGGTGTGGTCTCACAGAGGACTCTCGCAGGAAGCCCCATAACTCAGCACTCGCTCTTTCCTCATTCTTCCTCTCCCCTCTCTTTCCTGCATTAGAAAATACGATTCGTTGATCCAGGATCAGGCCCGAGAACTGTCATATCTGCGTCAAAAAATCCGAGAAGGACGGGGTATTTGTTATCTTCTGACCCAACACGCGAAAGATACAGTAAAATCCTTTGAGGACCTCCTCAGGAGCAATGACATTGACTACTACCTGGGCCAGAGCTTCAGGGAACAGCTTGCCCAAGGTGGGCAGCTGACGGAGAGACTCACCAGCAAACTCAGCACCAGTAAGTTGGCCACTGGCACAGTCCTAGGCTCGGGTGGCTACCAATCCCCCACAGCAGCACATTCTGTCCCAGTACCCAGGGTTCCTTCCTGTCTTGAGGGTCATTTCTGAATCAGGACTCCCACGGGCAGCACCAGGCATGGCCATTACAGCTCCTATAGTAACCAAACTCAAGAGGTCAACATGCAAAATTATGAATTTGGGTCCCCCTACAGGAAAAGGGACTTGTCATCTCAGATACAAAAGAAGGTTGTTATGTGAGAGTTGGTGGTCACACGGCTGTGTGTGTAGAAGCCAGGCTGTCACCAAATGTGGAGGCTGGAGTATTACAGAGAAGAGATGGGGAAGGGGCTGGTGACCAGTGAGATAAAATATATTTCAGTCTTTAGCCCCAGTTTGGACATATGAAGGCATGGCTGTGAGTGCCAGGTCAGGGGTATCCTCCCTGGTGAGCTTCAGTGAGCTGCCTGCTTGCCTCTCTAAAGATCATCATAGGTGTGCGCCCACGAGTGGAGTCAGGAGCTAACTAGGGTGTTAATAATGGCGAGCATAGAAACAGGAGGCCGCTGGTTACTGGGGTACAGGAGGGGGCCCAGAAGGAGGTGTGAGGATAAGTGTGAGCCACAGAGGACTTTATGATCAAAGGATCTCATGTGCGTCTGTGGCAGTCTTACCGTGACATCCTTTGTTTCGTACAGTTAATCTATAATGATAAAAAGGACATGGTCCACGGCTGGGGAAGTAGCTCAGTCTGTAAGTGCTTGCCTTGCAAGCAAGAAGACCTGAGTTCAACCCCCAGAATCTACATATGCAAACCTGCACATGGTAACGCACACTTGTAATCATAGCCCTGAGGAGCCAGAGACAGACGGGTCTCCTGGGCTTGCTGGCCAGACAGCCTGGCTGAGCTGGGGAGTCCAAGTTCAGTGAGAGACTGTCTCAGAAAACATGGAAGAAAATGGTGCTCGCGCGCGTGTGCATGCGTGCGCGCGCGCACACACACACACAATTTGAGCACTCAAAAATAATCTTCCTGTAGAAAAAGACAAGATCTCCTGAGTAAATTGAAAGCTTGGGACCATAGGAGAAGGCTGAAGAGGAGTGGAGAGGCAGGGAGGGGGGCAGAGAAAAATGTAGAGCTCAATAAAATCAATTTTAAAAAAAAAGAAAAAAATAATCTTCCTAATTTATGTGTGGCATAATTATTATTTTATGCCCTAGTGGAACCTGTATTTTCTCTGTGCATCTGCAACTTGTTTAACTTCTGTCACTTTCTAAATTTGATTTTCAGAGGATCATAAGAGTGAGAAAGAAGCAGCTGGGCTTGAGCCGCTGGCCCTCAGGTAATTCAGAAGACAGTCTGGTAAAGGAACCCGGACAGGGTGGTCCTGAGCTCACAGACCAGGATGGGAAACTGGATGAGATTAGTTCATTTGTTCATTGAACACTTAATGTTTTTTTCCAAATTTTTTCTTTTCTTTTGATCTAATTTCCTTGCCACAGTAATGTTTCGGGCGTGGTAAGCTAGAAGCAGTCTGACTCATGGACGAGCCATGTGTGTCTCAAGAGTCTTTCCCCTTGCCTGTGCCTCCCGCCCCATGAACTTCCTGCTAGGCTGGCCTGCCCTGCGCTTCATTGACAACTAACTCAGTAGTCACTTTATTTCCTCGGAGAAAGAATTCTGTGACAGTATGTAGAGAAAGGGGCGAGATGGTGTCGGCCCCAGGAAGGCAACAGTGTTGCCTTAGGGCAAACACTCAGATGCTACTGCTCACGAAGACACTGACTCGGGGTCATTTGTGGCCACTGGTTTGAACTCTCTGCCTCCTGTTTACACCCAGATCACGTCAGTGCTTCTCAGAATATCTGTGCTGAAGGCCATGGTGTCTGGGGTTCTTTTTGGTTTCGTTTCTCATCTCTCACAGACACACGGAGGGCCTACACTCGAGCCAACGAGATGATGCCACCTATCCAACTTTGAGATATCGAGACAACGTTCGCTCCACATTTTCAGAGACTTCCTTTTAAATTTTATACTTGTCGGAGATGCTAACAGTCCTCAGACTGCCGCTCTTTTAGGGACCACCCATTAAGCAGTCACGCCTTAGAGGTCTGGCTGTGCCTCTGCTGATGTCGGCACGTGGCCTGGGCACTGTGTGGCTACTGTTGTCAATCCATTTCCACCACACGTACCCAGCCAGAGATGTGTTGTTTTCCCATTCTATACAGAATGATGCCCATGGCTGGCGTGGGTCTCCCATGGGCTCTAGTGAAGACTAGCTGGTCCGGGTGACCTTGGTTTCACCTGTGGCCTGCTCCTCTCTCTGCCAGGCTCAGCAGGGAGCTCCAGGAGAAGGAGAAAGTGATTGAAGTCCTACAGGCCAAGCTGGACACCCGGTCTCTCTCACCTCGCAGCAGCCACACCCTCTCCGACTCCCAGCGCTCTGCCAGCAGCACCTCCTTCCTGTCTGACGAGATAGAATCCTGCTCTGACATGGATGTAGCCAGCGAGTACACACACTATGAAGAAAAGAAGCCTTCACCTGGTCACTCAGGTACCCTCCACTCTTGGAGTGGCACCTTCTGTGTCTAGACCGAGAGGAGACCTCGGGATCCAGGCCTTATAGTCCACTTTGTGTGTCAGGCTGAATGCAACATGGCTCTGGGACCAAGTGCCAAGCACAGGCTCCCATGGGGTAGATCCTTGCTCTGTCACTGGCTCTGTAAGTAATTCTGCCACTCTGAGTTCTGCCATCATGTACATGATGACGTATAATCCCGAGTGAGAAGCTGGTGGCCCGCCTTTACTGCTCACTGAATCTATCCGAGGGGCCTCCTTCCTTAAGGTAAACCCGCCTCATGTCCTTTTAGTTTCTGCATACTGGCCCCCGAGTATCTGTGGGCTTTCTCGGATGCTGCCACACATGCAACAGGGTTTCCAGGTTCTCAACTCTCTCTGTCGCCCCAAAGGTGCTTCCCTTACTGAAGGAGCTACCTAAAAGTGAGAAAATGCACAAGGCAAATGGCCCTTGTCCTTAGGGCATTTCACAACGGCCAACCTCTGGCCCTGGTACTCCCGGATGATATAAGGCCTGGGTTCCGGTTCTCCGTAGAACACCAAACATTTTCTTTCATTCATGGGTTTTGTAGAGTCCATCCATCATTCGAGTCATTCTGCTGTGTTGTCTTCCAAACCATCAGCAACCAGTGCATCTCAGGGGCTCAAGGTCGAGTCCAGCAACAGCCCCATCAGCTTGCCAACTCCCCAGAATCCCCCCAAGGAGGCCAGCCAGGCCCATCCAGGTATGCAAGGGCCAGTGGGGGCAGTAGATCCAGCTCTCCCAGCAGCCTGCTTGGTTTTTCTCCAGGGATAAGGGTGGAAACTGGTAGAAGCCTAAATCCATTCCATTCTAGACAAATCAGGAGGCTAGTCTCATTCACCATCTGTGTGTGATTTTTAAAAATTAGAAACCAAGAAATCTGCAGTAAGTTTTGATCTATGAACTGGTTTTGACTAGTAGTCAACTAACCCTTTTTTAATAAGTATCTTCATTTCTCTAACTCATCCTGGAGAAAACAGGCACACATTTTTATAGGATTACAGTAGCCAAAGAACAGAAGGAAACTCACATCTATTAATCCCATTCATGCTGCCTACTGATCTGGTACAATGCCTTTTCGCGTAGGTGATACAGCTAACACCATAGCTAAGTGCTGTTTCTTTTGTATTGCCGTCGGTGGATTTATGATGGGTTGGGAGTCCAGGGTATGGACATGGCGCATGTCCTGGAGACAGTGCAAGGGGAGCACTAGCTTTCATGTCTCAGCATAGCTGGAAGTAGTTTCATTGATCACTCACAGTTCTGCTTCAGAGATGGCAGAGAAAGGTCAGTCCCCACTTCCTGTCTTTCTCTATGGCTGGCTACCTTCATGCAGTGTGTGATGAGGTCTGATTCCCCAAGAGCACAGTCCTATTTTATGCCACCTTCACCCCTCCCAATCCTTCTCCTACCTGAGCCTGGACTCTGTGGTTCTGCGTCTGAGTGACCAGCAGCTGAGAGATCACGGAGGATGGGCTACTCACCCAGAGTATCGATAATCTACCTAATGCTTTCAGCTCAAAGAGAGCCTAAGGTCAGGGTGTTTAACATCACAGTGCCTTCCTAAAAGATGCCTGGACTGGGTCTCTAGGCAGTTTGTGTGTCTGCAGTATCACTCTGAAACAGTGTCAGCGCCGTGGGACCAATGATGTATTGTAGATGTAGTCATGTCTTCCACGTAAGATGTCCTCCTTAGGATAGTATTGATTTCTGCCCTTCTCCCCACTGGAAAAAAGAAACAGATCAAAACACTAGACTTTCATAGTGTTTCTCAAGATTTGGCTACACATGGACTACATGGATCACTGGGGAAAAGGAATTGTTAATTAAAATTCTGTGTCCTACTCAAAGAGTTTATCATTCTACTACTATGCACTAAGACAATCTGTGTATGGAGGTGGTGGTGCACAGCCCTTGGGGCTGGTATGTACTGCATCGTAAGATCCTGTCAAAGGAGGGGGAGGAAAGAAAATGCAAGAAAGGAGGTGGACCCTTTTAAGAAGGGGCGAGGAAAAGGAAGGAAGAAAAACAAGACAGTGCCCTTCTGGGAAAATACGATCAAAGTGTATCCTATACATGTATAGAAATGTCTCAATGAAGCCCATCCTATTAGATTCTAAGCAAATGAAAATATTAAATACTATTCTCAGACAGGTTTGCAAGCCACCATCTCAACCGTGCCACCTTGGCTGTTTCTCATCTTGTGGATGAACACATTGCTTTGGATTTCTGAAGCTTGTTCCCACACCAAGAGTCCCACACTGTACCTACTAGTAATACCTGGTCTAGCCTGCCACCCTCAGGATTATCCTAACAAAGTCACAAAAGGAGTTCCAGATGAGTGGATGGTCTTTTCTCGAGAGAGGGGCTGGTACCCACTATGACCAGCATCCCAGGGCCTTTGAGGAAGTAAGCATAGTCATCCTGACTTGCCTCTGGAGCCAGCTGCCTCCATGTTAAGCAGAGGCTATAAATGCACGTGAGCCTGACAAAGACACCTGCCAGGCTGCTTCTCAGGAATAACACTGGCCTTGCTGACTTAGCCTGTACCACATTAAGTGACGGCCACATGACAGATCCCCATCTGGTCAGGAAACGATCTGTCTCTCCTGTTTCTTCTCTTACTTCTTCTCTAATAATGTCTCCTTTCTCCCTAACTCTTTATTTCTAGGCTTTCATTTTAACTCCACACCCAAGCCGGCTAGCCTTTCCCAGACACCAATGCGCTCAGCTCCACCCAGCTTCCTGCCTTTCAGGCCCTCTGGCCCTCCCCTTCTCGGTTGCTGTGAGGCACCCGTGGTGTCCTTGGCTGAGGCTCAACAGGAGCTGCAGATGCTGCAGAAGCAACTGGGAGAAAGTGAGCACCGCTGCCTTGGTGTGCTGATGCGTGGCGGCCCACACAGTGTTGCTCTGCATGGCTTTGGCTGGATGGGGGTGAAGGGAAAACTAGGCACATGTCCCAGATTGGCAGGTGGAGGGGAAGCTTGCTCGCTTCTTGTCTGAAACGCAGCGGCTACTTTTGTCTCTGGGGTGTGTCCCATCAGCTACAGGAGGGATTCAGACACTCTGGACCTGGTGCTCACAGACTTAGGCACAACACAGTCTGGCAGCGTGCACCCCTGGAAGTCCGGGAAATGCTTAACAGCAGGCGGGATAAAGCAGTTATGCTTTGCCTGTGCAGGGTGGCCATGTGCATGGACGGCTTTGTGGGGTCATTACATATCTTGCTGCAGACTGCTCTAAATGACGTTGAATCTCCTGATATCATCAGCTTGGGATACAAAGGATGATGTCAAGATTCAGAAGCAGAGCCCCCTTTCTTATGGTTCAAGTTCATTCTAGCCCCCCACCCCCAAACAGGAAACAGGACTCGTAGATAGATAGAGCCGTAACAACAGGCCGTGACAAACAACTGTTGTGAATTCTGTCCTCTGAGCCCAGAGGTGGTTTAAATGCATGTGACTGCAGAACTCGCAGAAGGGGTCTGCTGTGTATGCACTGGATGCCTCGTTGTAAGAGTTTATGCATGGAATCACTTTAGGTGTAGGAAAACAGAAGGACTTTGTAGTACTGATTTTTAGAGTCATCTAGGAAGGGTTTGAGAACTTCTCTGAAGTCACCTGCTATGCCTGCAAGAGAACTTGAGTGAGTCAGAGATTAACAGATTCTCCACACCTAGGGGATTGACTGACCACAGAACAGAGCCAAGAGTTTCTGTCTGTAAAGCCCCTAAGGGCGTTTGGATCAGGACCCCCACCCCCCACCCCCGCTTCTTTTTAATCAACCCTGAAAATGGATAATTTATCTAGTGTGCTGAGTCGGTGGGCTCTGAAATCTAAGGGAATAAACCTTTGAGTATCAGCTTTCTCTGAGCAGATATCAGTACAGGCCTCCCCTAACATGACTGTGGTCCTGCCGGAGCCTCACAAGAGCCCAGTGCAGTGCGCTGAGCTAGAGCAGGCAGCTAACACTCCAGGAGACTGCCCCGTGGAAGGCATGGACTGGGAGCCTGTGCTCTGCTCCTGGTCCCCTCAGACCTTTGTACTAGGGTGCAGTTGCCCTGCTGCCTGAGCTGTGGGTTGAACCCAGTGGAAACACTCTGGTGATTTTCCACACCTATTCTCTTTAGAGACCCGCAAATGGGCTAGGACTTAGGACCTCAAACGGTTCCATCAACAGTTCTGACACCAGCAAACATGCCCCATGTCAAAACGGCGTGGTATTCTTTGGCTTCCATTTCCTTCCCTCTATCCCTTTCCTTTGTCTTTTCATGGTTGTCAACAGATCTTCACGAAAGGATAGAACAGGAGAATCCTGTGCATAAAATGGTGTGGGTGTGTATGTGTCTACATTTCCTTGGGCGATTCTAGCATGTGCCCAATCCGAGAAGCAGTTATAACTGAGGATAAAAGCTGGTCAGTGGCCCCAGTGCTAATCCTTTCTCGGTGTCTGAGTGACTTGAAAGAAATGATGAACTCGTTTCTTCATCCATGTTTGCTTGGAGGGAGTTGCCTGTCTATTTGGCCCCGTGTTGATAATCATTGGAAGAAATCAACCCACCACACAGTCTAAACTTTGGTCCTGTGCTCCTCCTTGCACCTACTCCCTAATCTAGGCTTTAAAAACAGAAGCGGGAATATAAGCTCTGCGTAGGGACCCTCCTTTCAGACACTCCCTAGAGTGGTCAGACACAGGCTCCACGGGGCATCACTGAACGCCTGCCACTGCTTACGGGGCTCAAGGAGATACCTGTGGTCTCACAGGGTCTCTGAAAGTATCACCCTAGGAAAGAAGAGGTCCCAGCATCCTCCTTGGAAAATGCTTGATGATTCTTTAAGGTTGGATGACTGGCAGGGGGAGGGGGGGGGTGGGGAATTCAAATCACAACTTTCCTTACAGGGTTTTCCCAACCCAAGCAAAGAGTTCCTTAATCTGGAAACATCTAACGGGATTTTATACCCATCTCCCTGAGGGAGGCATGCAAAGACTGACTAACGTTTAGCTTTGGGATGAGGAAGGCAGGCAAACACACACTCCCGTTTCTGGGTGCGACCAGTCAGAGAGCCCATCACATTCTTTACCCCTAACTTTGGAATGACTCCTACTCCCAGAACTTTCGTGAATTCTATCATGAGGACCTGTCAGTAGGACTCAGAAATGGAGCCCTGAACTTTTCTTTTGCATGCCCAAGTGATTTCAGATCCCTCATTATCCTTTGCCTCTCGGTGTCTCATTCTAGGAAACGCAGATGGGGAAAGTCAGGCTTAAGGTTTTGAGTTTTCACCGAACTGATACCCTGCGATGAACTGGGTCACCGACATCCCCCATGTCCACTGCTAGTCTCTCTTCTCCATGTTCTTAATGTCCTCATGGTTCTTGGCTTCTGACATTGTTCATTTCTCCCCTGTGTTTCTTTCTGTCCAGGTGTTAGCATGGCTCCTCCTGCCTCCACAGCGACACTGCTGAGCAACCATCCAGAAGCTAGCTCTTCCCGCTACCTCAACCCCACTCAGCCCCACTCTCCTACAAGGGGCATCATAGAACTGGGAAGAATCCCAGAGCCTAGCTACCTGGGTGGCAGCGGCCAGTGGGACATGATGAGGCCTCAGAAAGGAAACATCTCTGGGGATCTGTCCTCCGGCTCCTCGCTGTCCCAGCTTAACTCCAAACCCACAGGTAACACACAGACTTGGGACCTGTTTTCTTCAGAAGGGAAATGTATAGACAGGATACAACTTCTCCATCCCTCAAATATGTCCTGTGCACAAAACCCATCACACCGAGTGGAGGGGTGTAGCTCAGGAGGCAAATAGCGTGATGGAGCTCAGTTCCCACAGTAGGAAACTGAATTCCTAAGAGACAGCCCAAAGTGAAAGGGTCCGCTTGTAACTGGAGAGTACTTCCTCTGGGTCCTTCTGGGTCATAGAGCCATGCAGGGGACTTCTTATTCCTGTCTTAGTAAAAGTGATGCAGGGAAGCCTCAAGCATCGGTCCCTAGATTGACAGGTAGGTTGAGGATATGTGGTTTTTACTTTAGGGCTTTTCTTTGGGTGGGAAAGAATGGATTTTGCTGAAAACTGTCAAATAATATATCAGTAAGAATAATGGGACTGAAAAGACAGTAAGACCTTCTCTGTCACCCCCCAAGCCACACCCAAGAGGTGGGCACACCTTGCCTGGTCAGTTAGGGTTGTCAGCTATTTTGTTATTTTTTTAATTTCTTTTTTATATGCATTGGTCTTTTGCCATGGGTGTCGGGGCCCCTGGAACTGAAGTTAAGACAGTTGTGGGCGGGAGGGGAGCAGAGAAAAATGAAAAGCTTCATAAAAATCAATTTAAAAAAAATTTTTTTAAAAAGACAGTTGTGGGCTGCCATGTGGGTGCTGGGGATGGAACCCAGGTCCTCTGGAAGAAGAGTCAGTGCCCTTAACTGCCCCAACTGTCAGTTACTTTCTAAGTGATACATAGCTCCCTTTTTACTGTGGATGGTGGTCTTAGCAAGGGGCCGTCCTGTGCTTGAAGAGTTCCCTTCTTGTTCAGCAAAGCTGCCTGGGTGGAAAAACATGGTGAGCGTAAGGAAGGTGACATTAGGGCCAGGCTGAGCATGCACTGGCAGAGCTCACCTACCCTAGCAGTCAGCGTTCTAGTTTCTGCCTTGTCCTGGGATGGCTGCAGGGGCCGACCTGTTGGAAGAGCATCTTGGTGAGATCCGGAACCTGCGCCAGCGCCTGGAGGAGTCCATATGTGTCAATGACCGGCTGCGGGAGCAGCTGCAGCACAGGCTCAGCTCCACGGCCCGGGAAAGCGGTAGGTGAGGCCCAGCCTCTGTCCCGACTGAGGCGACAGTCCCTAGGCAGACTCCACAGCTTTCTAAGCCCTCCAATGCTCTTTCCTTCACTCGGTTGTCACAGTATTGTCGGATGTGTCTGAGTTCAGAGACTGGCTTTCTCGGGCCTCTTGTCCTTAATCTCTATGTTCCTGGCTGGTTCTCTGTGTCCTTGTGACTGGTAAGCAGTAAGCCAGGCTGATGAAGAGCCATTCCCACCCACTTCACTGAGGAGGCCACTAGTCCCACCTCTGCCTCACCCCTGCCAATGTTGTCATTTGGAGGTCACCCTTTCTGTATGCAATCGGCCCTTTCACACAGCAACCTCAGTCAGTGAGGGAGAAGAAGCTTCCTAGACAATTGTAATGCCTGCACATGCTAGGTGCACACAAGAATGCATGCTCTGAGAACCAACACATACCCTTCCGCATCAGCCATTGTGTTCAAGTTGATCCCAGGCCTTGAGGGTCGCAGATTTCTGCTGGGTCAGGACAGCGGATCTTTGGGGGAATGGAAAAGCATCTGTTACATGGGACATACGTGTGTTTTCTGGGACAGGTTCTACCTCTCACTTCTACAGTCAGGGCCCGGAGTCCATGCCTCAACTCTACAATGAGAACAGAGCCCTAAGGGAAGAAAACCAAAGCCTGCAGGCTCAGCTCAGTCACGCTTCCAGAGGTGGGTTGTGCAAAATCACAAGCTTCAGTTCCTCCCAGGTCTGTGTCTACCCTGGCCAGGACGATCACCCACTGGAAAAGCAAAGAGAAGGCTGATGTAACAGCTACCCAGATTTACCAGTCCAAGATTTATATTACGAATCTGTCTACAAGGGGCTATTTCCTAAGACAGTGGTTCTCAATGTGTGGGTCATGACCTTTTCGGGGTGGGGGTAGGGTTAAACAACCCATTCACGAGGGTCATTTAAGACCATCAGAAAACACAGATTTACATTATGGTTCATAACAGTAGCAAAATTACAGCTATAAAATAGCAACGAAAATAATTTTATGGTTGGAATCACTACAACATGAGGAACTGTATGAAAGGGTCACAGCATCAGGAAGTTGAGAACCACTGCCCTAAGAGATCCCAATCCTGGCCCTTAGGCTGCTAGATTCTGGGACTGAATGGCTCTAGGAAGCCCGTGTCTTTTGAAAGCGCGCCACATCCATCCAGTTAGCTGTCTACCCAGCTGTCTTGTCGGTTTGGAATCTGCCCCCTGCCACCTGCTCACAGATACTGGGATCCATAACAACAGATAGCATACATGTCTGTATTCCCTCGTAAGCCTCCAGACCAGTACAGCTGTGGGCAGCTGTCTGGGTCCTGTTCTCCATTCCTCGACCTTCTCATCACCTCCCTCATGTAGGGATGCTCTCCGGTGCTCCTCCTGTCGCTCCATGTCCTCTATAGCTTTCCCAGCCCTACTTAATCATCATCTGTAAGTGGGCATCATTTCCCATGTGCCTGGGAGGCAAATTACTTTAGTATTCATTGACCTGATTAAATCAATATCTGACTAGTAACACATTATTTTTATTTACAAATATCTTTTTGAACGGCTATTAAAAGGCTAAGAACGATATATGAAAGAATTAAGTCCAGAATAAAGGAATCCTTGTGGAGGCAAAAGGCAAGAAGAGCTATTTCTCCAGTACAAGGAGATTTGAGAGGAAAGGCCCAGAACAGAACTAAGGTTGATGGGTGAGAGGAGGCCGAGAGATTAACCTTCCAGTGCATGCTGGGAGAGGAGCACAGCCTCACTGGTGAGACACAGTAAGAGACCCAAATGAATACACTTGTTGCCGTGGACGGGCCTCGGATGAAGAGTCCCTGTAGGATCCTCTTTAAGAATGTCACATGGCCAGGAAATACCAAATGTCCCAATTTTCAAGATGATGACAAAAATATATTCTGAAAACCATAAACAAGAAATCAGTGCTGAATAAGAAAGAAAGAAAGAAAGAAAGACAGACAGACAGACAGAAAGAAAGAAAGAAGTGGGACTAGAGAGATGGCTCAGCAGTAAAGAGCATTGCCTGCTCTTCCAAAGGTCCTAAGTTCAATTCCCAGCAACCACATGGTGGCTCACAACCATCTGTAATGAGGTCTGGCACCCTCTTCAGGCATGTATGTATACAGAATATTGCATACATAATAAATAAATAAATAAATAAATAAATAAATATTTTAAAAAAGAAAAAAAAAAGAAAGAAATCAGTGCTGGTCTTTGATAAGACCGAAGGTAGAGAGCTGAGCAGCTGCTATGGGCGCCTAGAAAACACTGACCTTTAGGAATACACTGCCTTCCTTCAAAGCAAGGGCAGGTGTGCTTATACAGAGGGTTAGACACCACAAAGAAAGAGACCCCTACCCCGCAGGATGTGGGGTCCACTAAGCCAGACTGCCACCCACCAGGACTTTTCTTCTCCCGGCCTCACATGTATTCAGGGTTTGCCTTTGGCCTCACATGTATTCGGGGTTTGCCTTTCTGCTGAGCCATGACGTAACCACCCCTGTGTCCTACTCATTAGGACACTCCCAGGAAGTGGACCGCCTGCAGGAGGCTCTGCTCGCCTCTCAAGCCCAGCTTCAAGAGCTGGAGAAGGAGCTGGAGCAGCAGAAGGCTGAGCGGCAGCAGCTGCTGGAAGACTTGCAGGAGAAGCAGGAAGAGATCTTGCACTTCCGGGAAGAGAGGCTGTCCCTCCAGGAAAAGGACTCCAGGTAGGCGGGGCCTGGCTAAGGAAGGCCCACTTTCAGTGCAGAAGTGAGACTGACAAAACAGTGGTTTCTCCCTTTGGAAAACCGACTTCCCTCGCTCTTCCTGCCACACTGGTCACTTGGAGCCAAAGGAAGACTCCACTTTGAGCAAAAAGAATAACTTTTGGTATTCCAAGGTAGAGAGGTTAAGTCCTGTTACAAAGTCTGTTGGAGACTGGCAGGAGACCATTCCCATGCTTCCTGTTAGATACAGGACTTCGCTTTCTCCAAAAGCTCTAAGATGCTATGCCAGTAGGAGCCCCGTGTCTGCCTGTCAGCATGGAGAACACTGTAGAACCAGTCAGGGACCTGCGAGGTGATTTCATTGCTGCCAGCAAAGGGAGCTGATGCTCGACCTTCAAGCTAATTTACTTTACCTGCCCCAGACTCTGTTGAGTAAAAGTGCTGGCCAACCCACCCCACCCAGAGTTGGCACCGGGCTAAGATGCCTCAGGCACAGGCTGGCTTACCGCTCACACCCTACAGGCTCCATGAACTCTTGCCTCTCCTCGGCAGGCTGCAGCACAAGCTGGCTTTCCTGCAGCAGCAGTGCGAGGAGAAGCAGCAGCTCTCGGCCTCCCTGCAGTCAGAGCTCCAGATCTACGAGTCACTCTACGGAAGCCCTAAGACGGGCATGAAAGGTACGGGGACCCTCTGCCCCTTCTCTGCCAAGCCCAAGGGTGGGGGGCTGTTCACTTGAGTGAGCCAAGCCTGGGTGCCCTTAAGGACAGACCCCAAGGATCACACTTCACCCACTTAAGTAGTCAAAGACAATCTAATAAAGGTAAGATTATAACATGCTTTTGTTTTAATAAAGTAATGTCCTCGGGCTGTCACTGAAAAGATTTTAAATGTGGTAAAAAACAAACATGGCAGCCTGGGCAATGGGCATCTACCCTCCCCCCTTCCCACAAGGAGAAACTGACTCAAAAACCAAAGGAAAAACAGTACCTAATGAAACATTACTAATAGGGCTTACATTTCAAGTCTAGGTTTAAATATTAGGTACTTACTGAGCAGTTTTTTCATCTGCTGAAATAAAAATCTAGTATTTAAGAATCCAAGTATGTTTCCCTACTCAGACGGAGAAAGGTCTGAGTTACATTGTGTTAATGAGTTATAACAGGTTATAATAGGGCCCACATAATACAAAATGGCCAAACGGAGAAAGATATAATGAGTTATGTTAATGAATTAGAGCAGGTAATCACAGGGCTGACATCAGGTAATATGATCAACAAAGACAAACACTTAAATCCCCAGCTTGAAGAAAAGCATCATGGTAAAGCATGGAACGGGGAGGCCTGGCCCTGAGGCTGCTCGTGGTTTTGAAGGCAGGCAAATTGGTAGAATCTTTTTTATACAAGGACAGTGTAGGGCAAAGGCTGTTGAGAGCCCCACTCACCCTGAAACTGTGATGGTGTGGATAAAATGTCCGTGTGGTAAGGCCACATCTTATATGCAGCTAGTTTGTGGGGGACTTGGCACCATGGGGCGCACAAGGAAGGCAGGGGCTCCCTTAGGGAAGGAGTGAGAAGGCACAGAGTCAATGGCACAGACTCCAGGAGTCAGGCAAGTGGCAAAGCAGACTCGTTTATTCAGCATTAGGGAGAGCCTTCTATACCCTCCTCCCAGCACCCAGGCTGAGTTCCATCCTTTGATATTGTGTGCTGGTCAATCATTGGCTAGGCCATGATCAGGAGAGGAACTGTTGCTAGGCCCTCAGGCACTCTCCAGGTTGGCTCATCCCTTGGCCTTGTAGGCCTTATCTTCCAATAAGGAATCTGGTTCACAGTGGTCCGACTTTATCCAAAGGATCTCCCTCCCTCCTTCCCTCCCTCCCTCCCTCCCTCCCTCCCTCCCTTCTTCCTTTTTCCCTTCTTTCCAGACTGGCCTCAAACTCACAAAAATCTGCCTGCCTCTGCCTCTTGAGTGCTGGGATTAAAAGCATACACCATCAGCAGCCCAAAACTGAATTTCTTAAAGCTGGATCTAGCGTCTTAATTTGCTGAAGAGAAAATGAATCAGAACTTTGGAGTATAGGGAATTCACCAGGCTGTAAATGAACGGCAGAAGCCCAGAGTTGGGGTGGAGTGGGTCATTCTGCCTGTGGGAGCCCCTTGGTACTAGAGGAGTGTGAAATCGGGGTGGAAAGGGAAGCCTCTGGCAGACAGAACACGTAAAGATCAAGACCAGGGTTAACTTTCAAGGAAGATAGTGCCGTGTTGAAAACAGAGTTTTAGGATGCAGTTTGGAAACAATGACATCTTAAAACTTGCGGGCAAATGGATGGGTCTAGAAAACATCATATTGAGTGAGGTAACCCAGACCCAGAAAGACAAATATCATATGTACTCACTCATAATTGACTTGTAGACATAAAGCAAAGAAAAACCAGCATACAAATCACAATCCTAGAGAACCTAGACAACAATGAAGACCCTAAGAGAGACTTACATGGATCTAAACTACATAGGATGTAGAAAAAAGACAAGATCTCCTGAGTAAATTGGGAGCATGGGGACCATGGGGGAGGGTAGAAGGGGAGGGGAGAGGAAGGGAGGGGAGTGGAGAAAAATATATAGTTCAATAAAAGCAATAAAAAATGAAATTTTTAAAAAAAGATGCAGTTTGGTGGGACATACTAGAGTTAGGAGACCTTTGTCTGGGGAGCCTCGTGGATGAATGTAGAGACTTTTCTCGGTGAAGAGATAAGGTTTAGTTGAGGAGATGAAGTACCCAAGTGCTATGGTAGGGAGAAACTCACAAGGCCTCAGCCCTGAACAGAGAGCCACAGGCAGCTAAGAAATGCCGAAAGAGCGAGAAAGTCTTCCCCAGGGAAGAGCCCGCCAACTGCTTATCCAACATCAAACGGCCAGCTCTGAAAACATGGACGGATAAGGACAAGTAACTTTATGGGAGCCAAGCAGAGCATGCGTGTGTATGACAACCCTCAGGCCGTGAACTGGAGGGGGTGGGTCACACGAGAGGGTTTGGAAGGAAGGAAGAAAGGGAAGGAGAGAAATGATGTGACTGTAGTATAATCTCAAATTTTAAAAATTATCATAAAAAAAGATACAGTGCTATTGAGAAGATAAAGGGCAGCGAGCAAAGGTTTTTCTAAAAGCAAGCAAAAGTTAGCGAGAATTTGGAACCAGGGGAAGAGAAAGTGTAATGGAACCTTTATCTACCGAGCAATTTCATCCTGATCCCCCAAGCATACAGCATACGGTGCGCGTACATCCTCTTGGTGCACAGGTGTTCTTGAGCTCATTTCAATTCCGCTAATCTCCATAATTCCTTATTTTGAACGTCAGAATCCAGCAAGGTAGCTATATTATAGGTTCTTCCACGTATTCATTTAATGACAAACATACCCAACGTGACAGGAGGCTAGTCAGTCTCTCTCTGCTTGGCTGTTTACTTAGCTCCTGGAAGAGATAATTGTGTGCTGGGCTAAGAGCTGTGAGCTAGCTGCAGCAGGGCAGGTCACAGAAGGTGTAAAATCCAAAACTAATTCTGTCTTGCAAAATATAAGTGGCTCTCAGGTTTTCCGGTAAGAAATGTCTAATTCTGAGCTGTTTATTAGCTCTCTTTATCCTTGCATGTGGAAGTACGTGGGGTAAGTTACCTTCCATGTGGAAAAGCGGGGATGAGAAACATGAAGAAGCTGGACATTCACCTAGGAATTCTAGGCTCGGGTCTAAGGTTCTTGCCTTCCCTTCTCCTGTTGCCAAGAGGCCTATGTGTTCCTGCTTTTCCTCTCTGAATATGGCATTCACCAAATCTCCCTCTCCCTCCCCCTTCAGTCTTCTCCAGTTCAGTGCTGACCTGCTTTGGAGCCTGCACCAGACACAGTACGCTGATTCTCTCCTGCCAGTTCAAATACCCATAGGCATGCTTGACTAATGTGACCCTCGGGGGAATTCCAGGCTCATTACAGGCCACCCTGCTCTGCTCCTGGTGCCCTATGAGGATGGTTGTGTCTCACAGACACGTGGTCAAGCCCCTAAGACTCCAGTGGGACCCTTGGCAGGAAGAAACGTCACAGAGAAGCCTTCTGACTATTATGTGGAAATCCATGGTCAGTAATGCCTGGTACCCCTCTCTCTTCTTGCAGCTTTCAGCCTAGATTCCTGTTGCCAAGTCCCCGGTGAGCTGAGCTTCCTAGTGGCAGAGATCCGGGCCCTGCGAGCCCAGTTGGAGCAGATCATCCAAGTGAACAACGGTCTACGACTGCAGCTGGAACAGCAGCTGGATCGTGGTGCTGGCAAAGCCACTCTCAGCCCCTCCTCTGTCGGCCAGAACGTCTCAGCCGACGTGGAGCCTGCACACACACAGCCACTCTTTCAAGGTACGAAAGAAGAGGGGAGCAGAAGCTCCCACCCGGGTAGATGTCTGTGGCACAAGGGACAGTCCTGCTGAACCGCTCTGCCCGCTCAGGCAGAGTGGACATGTTTTTACACGGTCTCATGAGTGACAACCCGGGATTCAGAATCAGGCCTGCCTCCACATTCCAAGTTTGCTACTTTGAGGTTATCCACTTGGGGCAAAGTATCTAAACTCTCAAATGTTTAGCCCTTAATTTACTCCACTTGAAAATGGGACTGATAAGAAATGGCATGTATGGTTATCTGTAGCATTAAGTAATTGCCAAGGATCTGGAACCAAAGGAATTGACTCCTCATATTTATTTTTTGAAAAGATTTATTTATTTATTATCAATACAGTATTCTTAGTATTCTGCATGTATGCCTGCCAGCTAGAAGAGGGCACCAGACCCCATTATAGATGGTTGTGAGCCACCATGTGGTTGCTGGAAATTGAACTCAGGACCTTTAGAAGAGCAAGCAGTGCTCTTAACCACTGAGCCATCTCTCCAGCCCTCCTCATATGTATATAGTGCGTTAGAGTTTACCAGGTATCTTCAAATATACAATTTCACTGAAATAGGACTTTTTACCCATCTCTGTATTTCCCATAAGAAAATGGAGTCCCAAGACATTTAATAGGCCAGCAAGGGTCACTCTGGCTAGGAGCCAGGACCAGGTGCCTCGGGAGCAATCAGGAGCAGTGGATTGGACTCTGCTGCACTAGTGGGCAGGATGATAACCAGACTGCTGACTGGGGAAAGGGCTCTCCCACTGAGCCTCTCTCTCTGCCCTAACTCAGCATGTAACATCCATACTATGGACATTTCTGCATAACCATATTCCATTCAAGGCATCATACTAGATTCTACATGCAAAATTATATCCAATATTGAGCTTATAAAATGCCTACCAATCCTTTCAACTAGTAATGACATCTCTGAAACATACCCTGCTCAGGAGTGCACAGGAAATACTTTGTGGCCTACGGGTGCTAGTTTTGTGAGGTGATGCGTGTGCCACGTGGCTCAGTGTGTAGCATGTCGGCAGACCTGACATGGCGGCTGTTTCGTTTCCTAGGTTCAGCTGCTTCCCCTCCAGTCCGGGATGTTGGCTTGAGTTCTCCCGCCACGGTCCTCCCCAGCTCTTCTTGCTCAGTTCCTGACTCAGACGCTGCCACCATCACCAGGACAAATGGTAAATACAGCAGGGAAAAGACTCAGATGATGATGGAAAGCTATTGATGCAGACTACCCTTGGCTGACTCTCGGGACAGGCAGCCCCTGTGTCTAGCGGTCTGTCTCGGTGTCTCGGGCTCCTGCCATGCACCATCCTCTACCTTTCTCTTCTCTCTCTCTGTACCTTCCCTGCTGCTCTGGTTTTCCTTGCTCACTAACAGAATTTATCCTGCATGTTTCACCTGTTGAAAATGTCGTAGCATCTGTTTTGTTGTTTTGACAAAGTTCCCAGAGAGAAGCAATGTGAGTGAGAAAGGGGTGCTTCTGGCTCACAGCTGCAGGTTACACCCCCATCATGTCAAGGAAGTCCTGGGAGCTGGTCACATAGCATCTGGCACCAGAATCAGAGAACAGCGAACATATGTATGCCAGTGCTTAGCATGCCTTCTCCTGAAGCTGAACGCATGGGGGGAGGGGGGGAAGCGAATCAAATAATCCCAAGCTAACTCCAAAAGATTCCAAGATTATTTTTTTAAAACTTTATTCATTATGTACACAGTGTTCTGTCTGTCTGTATGCTTACTGGCCAGAAGAGGGCACCAGACCTCATTACAGATGGTTGTAAGCCACCATGTGGTTGCTGGGAATTGAACTCAGGACCTCTGCAATAGTAGGCAGTGCTCTTAACCTCTGAGCCACCTCTCCAGTCCTATTATTCCTTATTGTAAGGGAAAAACTCACGGAACAGGAATTTGGGGTCCAACCTCAAGGTGTGGAGCGTGGGAATGAGAGAGTGAGAGCTAGGTGGGCAGCAGTTCTCTCTGGGTACACAAAAAGTCATGCCCCAACCTGGCCCAGCCTCTTAAAGGTCATTGGCTGAAGGAGGTTCCCCATCGCCCTCCACTTCATCCGGCTCAGGATACCCCGTCTAGGGAATGGTTCAGCCACAACTGTGTCTTTCCCCATAAGTTAATGCCATCAAAATGGTTTACAGCAGGCATGCCTAGAAGCCCACCTCCCAGACAATTCCAAATTCTGTCTGGCGACAGCACTACCATAGCTCAGATGTGTCTAACAAAATGACGCAAGAATAATTATAACTATGCAGGACATAGAATGCTCTGTGAACTCCACCATCCTGTATTATTGAAGGCTGACTTGCTTCTTGCCTCTTTCATTGTCCCTTTGGAGTCGAGTAAACTGAAGTTGTTGTTAGGGAAAACAATGCACTCTATTTTGTTTCTTTGTCAGATGATTCTGCAGCAATGAAGGACCCTTCCAAGTTGGAGGGTGATGCTATTGATGGTGCCTTTGCCAACAAACATGGCCGGCATGTCATCGGCCATGTGGATGACTACAGTGCTCTACAGCAACAGATTGGGAAAGGCAAGCTCCTGGTCCAAAAGATACTGTCTCTTGCGAGGCCAGCATGCAACATCCCTGGCCCTGAAGCTCAGGGCGCAGAGGTGAGAACCTGACACTCTTGGGGACTCTCTTTGCACAGTTCTTCCTTCTATGCTTTACAACACCCAGCCACTGGCAAGTGACTTAGGTTTAGGTTTATTCAGCCAGAACCTCTTTCCTGTCTCCCATCTTCACTCAGTCACAGACCAGGCTGACTTGATGCTTTGACTGAGAGCCCCAGAAAACCCTGTGTTTTATAACAGGGCACTTGTAAAATGTTGACATACTATGTCACTGTTTTTTAGCAACTTCGGTAGCTTATACAGATTGGGAATGCTGGCATAAAGCCACGCCTAGATAGATTAAAGTCAATCCAGTGAACAGGCAGCCACACAAACTTGTGTATAGAAAGGGTGTGCACTTAATACCCTGTTCAGACTGAGCACAGAAGGGGAGGCAGCCAGCGCAGCTCTTTGGTGTGTGCTCAGTTATTAAGAGGGAGCAGGCACAAGTGACGATGTTGTTTGAGACACTGGTCACTCGTGGGTGCTTGCATAGGACAGACTTGTCTATAAGGACCCTCTACCAAAGAGCAAAATAGAGTTTCTTGTTGCTATGCACAAAAAGGTGTGGCAGGTACGGTATGAGGAACGATCATCTATAATTGCATTTCAGACAATCAAGGCACAGTCTCATAGAGTATATAACACAAGAAGGAGTTTTGAAAGCTTGTAGGGCATCCTGGGAGAAGGGTTCCAGGCAGAGGCCAGCTGTCCTGGAACTGTAGGATAAAGCCAGGGTTTCCAGAGTCCAGCAGGCCTGTGTGATGTGCTCGTTCACAGGGGATGCTTGAGCCCTGTGCTGGGAGTGACGGGATGCCCCAGTTCCAGAGAGATCCTTGGCTACCTGTCCTCTTTTCCCAGGTGCCAGGTAACAAAAGTGTCCGTGAGCTGCGGAGCAGTGCCAGTGCTCTGAGCCACACCCTGGAAGAGTCTGCGTCTCTCCTCACCATGTTCTGGAGAGCAGCCTTGCCAAGCTCGCCTGGGCCGGGACTGGTAGGCAAAGTGGTAAGAGGCTGGGTCTTGGTTGGTTGAAACCACCCTTTTCCATGCCAGTATGGCCCTGCTCCCAACCCCTTCAGCTTCAGATATTTCCAGGTCTTGTACCTTGACGTTTGAACTGATCAAGAGACCTGTTGACAATATGGCGCTCTTCCTCCACCCCTAGGGTGTGCCTGGCCAAGAGATTATAGAATGTCACCATGAGCATGAGAGCCTCTTTTAGCCATGGTCTGGAGTCTCAACAGCTTTTAAAGTTTGTGTCTCTGGGTCAGGCCTGGAGAAGTCAGCCACCTCCTGGGGTCCGCTTGTCTCTCTGGCGGGCTGTGCTTGGCAGACTCTTACACAGCGGTATTCCAGCTGTAGATAACTGTTCCTGATGTCTGTGGACCCAGATATGCTAATTGAAGGTGCTTTCATGTCTCCACAGTGGCAGATATTTGCAAAGTTTTCCACTGTTCTCTGGCCAGCCCCATCTCTTCAGATAGGACATCCCCGAACCCCTAAGTGTCACTTACAATGAGGAGTTAAGGAAATTCTATAGGACCAAACAGAGTACTTGCTTGCAGTTGGGATTTAACACTGGCGTAGAGAGAGGCTCTCCCCAGCAAGCTTTTCCATGTCTCTCTGGTGGCCTGATCCTCAGCTGTCTCCAGCTGGGGTTTGAGAGTTTTTATATTGTTTTTTTTGATTTTGTTTTGTTTTTTTTTTCTTGAGATAGGGCTTATCTCTGTCCTGGAACTGGCTCTGTAGGCTGGCCTTGAACTCAGGCCTTTGCATCTCAAGTGTTGGTATTAAAGAGTACATCATCATTGCCTGGCTAAGGTTTGAGGGGTTTTAAAGGAGGGAATTCAATACAAAAAGACTTGAGAAAATGGTAGCGCTCTGCTCGACCATCGCGTGCACAGTGTGCGGTCAGCCTTAGGGGGATTATCTGAGTCTGTCCCTCCTCCTCAGGGTCAACTGATAGAGAAGGAACTCCTGGATCTGCGAGCCCAAGTGTCCCAACAGGAACAGCTCCTCCAGAGAACTAATGAGCGTCTGAAGACGGCTAAGCAGAAGAAGAAGACCATGGAGCAGTACATCGTGAACCACCGTAGGTGTCCCTGAAGGGCCCGTGGGGAAGGCTCTTCCAGACACCCAATCTCACAGACAATCAATAGTGACCAGAGGGACTTAGGAATGGTGTGTGTGGGGGGGGGGACACTGATGAGCAATGGTGGGTACAGAGGGCAGGGGTGTGGCTAGCAACAGACCACGCACACTGAGTGGCAGAGAAAGTGTTTTAGGATGCATGTGCCAAGCAAGTCAGACTCAATTGGTAATTTCCAATAATTCCAATATTGTGGGGCTGTTTTATGTTTCCAGTGACCAGGACCCATGATGTCTTGAAGAAAGCACGGACTAACTTAGAGGTAAAGGCAATACTGCACCACTTAACCACAGAGCCTGTCCTTAACCCACCACTCTGGCCACATGTCTGTGGGGCTCCTGGCTAGCTCTGATATTCTGAGAGCCTTCCGGTCCAGTATAGGCCATGGCTCCCCAGCAAACCCGACCCTACCTTGCTCCTTGACCTCTCAGCTTGCCCTCGTCTTGTTTCCCTCTCTCCCTTTCACTGAAGTTCTCTGTCCTTTCTGTGGGGTGAGGAGGCTGGGAAGTGGAGCGCAGGTGACCCCTGAGGGCAGGGACATTTGGAGATTGCCTATGAGGCCAGTTGTGCATGGCGGAGTTCCCTAAAAGGCTCTGTGGAAAATAAAACAACGTAGACAGAACCTTACAAATTGCCCCCGCCATGATTGCTGCGAGGTTGGGAGTATCCTTGCCTTTAAAGGTCCCGGATGATCTTGATTTAGACTCATGGATCTAGAAGAGAACTCGAAAATAAACCCTGCCCACTAAAGGAAAGGCTGTGCAGGTGTTCTCCACAGTTACCTCAAGTGCCGCCGCACCCCGGGAAGCAGTGTGAGGGGAAACTGGGTGTATATGATGTGGCTTTGAAATCAGAACCTATTCTCTGAACATAGACTTGACACAGCCAGAGCAGCCCAGTCTCTGCCCAGAAAGTTCCTAATTGCATCTGCCACAATGTCTGCCCGTGTGCAAGGGGGTTGGACCAAGGTGTAGCTCACTCTTTCGTCTCGGTCTAATTCTTCTCTGTCTGACGACTCCTTTCTTTCCCGAGCCTCTGTAGAACAGCCCTTACAAGATTGTCTCTGTGCGGCCATATTCCTGCCCCAGCAAAGGTAACCGACCCAGTGGCCTCCAGCACCACTGGCTCAGCCTGTGGAAGCTCACCTCTCTCTAATTCCTAGACCCCTGTGGAGGGTCACAGCCCTGGGCCTACTAACTGGCTGTGTGGTTTTGGCTGGCCCCTTCTCTGTGAGCCTGCTGCCCCAAGTCTATAATGGTAGAACTCTCTTTTCTTTCTTTCTTTCTTTCTTTTTTTTTTGGTTGTGTTTTGTTTTTGTTTTTGTTTTTTTGAGACAGGGTTTCTCTGTAACTTTGGAGCCTGTCCTGGAACTAGCTCTTGTAGACCAGGCTGGCCTCAAACTCACAGAGATCTGCCTGCCTCTGCCTCCTGAGTGCTGGGATTAAAGGTGTGCCCCACCACCACCCGGCTTAGAACTCTTCTTAGATTATCTCTGAGGTCCTGGGGACTGGACCCCCTCTCTGATAACTGGGACACAGACTTACCAAGAGGCCTTCCTGCTGGATCCTCCCCCCTCTTCTACAGAGGGCTCGTTTTGCGTGTGTTCATCTCCTGCTCAGCGCTTCTTTTCTTGAGAGATATAAAGGTCCCTTTGGTTTCTGTTTGTTTGCTTGGGACCACTTGCTTTGGAGCATGAACTGACTCCTGGAGGGAGCATCCTGGGCTCTGGCCACTCGGTCCGGTGGTGAAAACAGCAAGAATCTGGGAATGTGCAAGGCTTCCCTCTAACCTAGGCTTCAGGAGTCTCCAGGCAGGACTCCCCACCCCGTGCTCGCCCTCCTAACCAGCTTCCAGGCTCTTGGCTTCCAGCACATTTGCCCCTCACTCCAGGCTCCAGCCTGGTCTGACCACTGGCTCTGACTAGGTTTGTTTCCCTCTTATCTGCAGGTGAAATCCTTCAGGGCTCGGTCACACACCTCAGCCTTGTGACCCTTGCCTTCCAGGAGCCACACAAGAAGCGAAGCCAGAGGTTCTCAGAGCAGAAGGAAGGGTGGGCCTGCCCTCTTGTGCAGTTGCCTATCTGCTGAGGAATACCTGGCCCCGCCCCTCCCCTGCTGAAGGTCCGGAAAAGGGCTCAGAGATGGGTCCACATGGGACAGACAGGAAGGAGAGTGGCATCCTGGCAGTGATGATTATGGTTTGCCAAGGCCCACTGGGCCTAGCACTAAGCGAAACTGATGTAGACTGCGTAGAAGGCCTTGCGGCACTGCTTCCAAACAGCCTCCATGGCATGGCGCCTGCCCTGTCGGTTCATGCCTCAGCATCTGTCCTCAAGACCGCCAACTCAGGGGAACCAGGACCTTGCTGCCCACAAAGGGATGTGTGGTCCCAACACCGAAGCTCCTCAGACAGTTGTCAAAGCACACTCTCGGGTGACAGTGCCCTGCTGGACAGTGTTCGGGCTCAGCAAGCTCCCCTCACAAACCCGCTCTTAACCCAGGCCAGCCCTGTGGGTCAAGCCAGTTAGTCCTTTGGTCTGTATCACCACACCAGAGTCTACATATCAAATATGCTGACTTCTAGGTGCCCCCTGCTTAGCCTAGCCCCTTCTGTTTCTTACATGATCTCAAGTTGAATTGGCTCCCTTAAATGTGCTGTCCCTTATAATCCTCAGGGGAGTCGGGGACTGGAGGCCGCACCGAGCCTACTGAATGTCTAGCATACAGCACACCGGTACCTCTTTGAATGGCATGGGTGAGGCCTGTTCTGTCCTGAAGGCTGTGTGTCTTCACAGTGCTCATAGGATGTGGGTGTGTGTATAAATGTATAATATAGATTTATATGTTGCTATGGCCATGTGTTGTAGGCCGTAATGTGTAGACAGGTGAGAAGACACTCTGCAGTCTTTCTGATGGCGATTAAAGCGAGCTGTGTATAAAGTAATTGTTTTCCTTTGCTTCTTATTTCTGTGCCAGCTCCTAGAATAAGGATATAAGACTATGAAAGAGACGTGTGCTGCCATCTGGCATCCCCGTGTGTGTGTGTGTGTGTGTGTGTGTGTGTGTGTGTGCCTTATCTCAGGTGATCTGCCTACAGCCCCCTGGGTACAAATCCTAGTTCCCCGCAAGACCCTATTTCCAGCCTGACAAGATGAAAGAAAGCATCGTGAACCAGGAAAAACTCGCTCAACTGCAGGACAACTGTGTCTTGGTGGGGGTAGAAAGCTTGCAGAAAGAAAGTGGATCACAGAACAGCCACAGCAGAAGATAAAACTTCCGTTCTCCTTTAAGAAGTTAGGGGTGAACAACAGCTCTGGTACTGAAGGGGTGAACCTGTTTACAAACCAAGGAAGAGTGACACATTTTAACAACAGAGGTTGAGCATCTCTGGCAGCGCACACCTGCACACAGCACACACCTGCACACAGCACACACCTGCACAC